AGTTTATTAACACACACCAAGAAGACATTAAAAAACAATGAAATTATTTATGTCCTTCGTAAGGACTTCGTCGCTGCGACCTGTCAAGGTTAGATAGGACGTCAGGGAATTTTTCTACCATTTAGAAGTTAAAACGTGTTTTGTGCACCACCCCTTCACCCAGAACGCAGGCGCCGTCAATAGAAGGCGCATGCCTGTGCTTCTCCTTCTTGGGAAACATTTCTCTTTCTGACAATTTTTTGTGGATCAAATTAAAATCGAGGTCGAGGAATATAAGAGGATGCTTAAGACATAGTTCAGATCTATATGGGGGGCAACAGAACAAAAACAGACCTGACAAGGAGAAAGTAGCTCGTTCTAAAAACGTGCACTTTTATTTATTTATTTTTTTTTGTCAAAATGCAATATTTCGCTATCCATCATCTGCATCCAGCATCGTGAGCCTCAGATTTTTCTTCGTAATTGGGCGAACACAACAACGAGCATGGGTTACACTTAGTATGATTCATTTATTTAATTGATCTATTTACTTAATAATTTTTATTATTATTTGGCATTTATCGTGTCTGTTGTCTGTTGGTATTATTATTTCTTTTCTCCTTTGCTTCTTTGCAACTTATTTGTCATTAGCTAGAAATTTGCAGCTCCTTCAAAATCCGAAGTGGTGAGAAATTCACTAGCAGTAGCATTAAGTTCCAAGAGAAATTTTTGGGGTTGAATAATGCAGCTAGAATACGTGATAAAATTCAGGTTGTTTGTAAGGAAATGCCATGTGATGGAGCGAAGTTTAATGTGATAAAATGGAATTTTATTGGTAGAATACAATTCAAGCACGTGCTCTTCGTGCATTGATGGGGTATGCTCTAAGTGGACTTTGGACGTGGTTGTCATAGTACGTGATGGAATGTGCGCTGTGAGAAAAGGAGCGGAAAAACATGTTTTAACTGTAAAATGATACAATAAAAATAAATGTGAATCTTCATAACCCGATAAACCTCGACCTCAATCGACGAGGCTCTTGCGAAGATGACAAACGTAACAATTATCAAATGAGCTTAAAATTTCTGGCTAACGTCATTCTTTGTGCACGGCCCCCTGAGTCCATGACATCATTTACAAGAAAATAATTCTAAAACGCTGTGATTGATGCAAGATATCCAAATGCTGTGATATCATTGGCGCGAGACACATACCCTAAAGCGGCAATCTGATTGGTGTGTGATGCATGTGTGAGGCAACCGCCGCCTGGTTAGCTCAGTTGGTAGAGCGCCAGTCTGCTGTGCGGGAGGTCGAGGGTTCGAGCCCCAGACCGGACCAACACTCAGGGTCTTAAAAATAACTGAGGAGAATGTGCTGCCTTTGTAATTGTACCAACAAATGGTTAGACATTCAAGTCTTCTCGGATAAGGACTATAAACCGTAGGCCCCGTCTTCTGCATCTTCAGTGTTACATGGTCAGCAGGGGACGTTAAAAAACCCACACACTTGTCGATAAGAGTAGGGGGCGTAGTTCCCGGTGTGGTGGTCTATCTGTTGTCTCATTGTACATTTCATGCATGGGCTGGGTGGGTGAGTGAGATCAAATATGGACTGATAGCGGCAGCCAGAGGCGCCTTTACAAGCTGACGTTCGATCTCACTCAATTAGAATTGTAAACCGCCTTGAGACAGTATGTGATATGTGCGGTATTTAAATAAATACTCATTCATTCATTCATTCATGCATACCCTAATGCGGCGATGTGATTGGTGCGAGCAACTTACCACTAAACACGCTAACGCGACGATAAATAATGAGTAGTCACTTAGAGCCGTTTTCTTATAACACGAAGGAATCGTTCTTGTTTTGCGTCTAGAGTCTCTTCCACTTTGCCATCTCTACGACTTCCTTTCCATTGTAGAGACTTTTGTGTGGCTTGAAGTGATTCCTTGTATTTTTTCGTACGAATCTTAAACTCAGTTGTATCTTTCTCTCGTTCATAACTGCTCTGTTTTGTTGTGCATTCATAAGAAACAGATTTTGAGCTCTCGCTCACGTCCTCCACAAATTCATCGTATGGTGGATTTTGATAATCACCATCCGCAAAAATATTTTGCTTAGTCCATTCTGATTCCTCGTCCTGAGTCCAATCTTTCTTGATGGGACAATTATCGTCTTCGTTACTTAATAAATTTCTTTGTTCCATCAGGTTAGTAGCCATAACAACTGACTTCCTGTCTGATTTACAAATTGAAAGTTTACACTCTTCTCTTTGGATACATTTTGTCTGGTTATCTTTGACTTGTTGCGATGTCTGGTGCGGTAATGACGTCTCTCGACTCGAGGACTGCGGCTCGATTCGGTGTTGTGGGACGGGTGCACTAAACAGATACCTTCGCCTATTTACCCTCTTGATTAGCTGAAAATCAGATCCACCAGGATCTTTTTCACTATCTTCACACAGAGATGGTTGTGATTGACAGAAAAGTACTTTAGGATCCAAGTGATCTGTTGATGATGGTGTGAGTTCATTAGTGCCTGTAGTGGTAGCTCCAGACAAACAAGGAAACATCGCGTCTCCTGAGCACTCCAAAGTCAATGACGCGCTCTCTTTTGGGATCGTCTTTTTATTTATGAGAGCATAAAACTTTCTTCTCCACTCCTCAAATTCCTCTTTTTCTTTTTGACTCCCACTTGCTCGTAGCGGACCCAAATTAGCTCGAAGAAAAATGTTCTTACAATCTTTGCTCTTGGGCAAATCAAATATGGAAATTCTACGTTGATTTTTGTTTTTTTCGACGGTGTGAACAAGATGGTTAGAACTTCTAGAACCTGCTACTGGGATCCTTTGACTAAATGGGGGGAGGTGATGAGGGAGTCTAGCAGATAACCCTTGTATTTCCAGGTACCTGTTACTCGCCACTGACAGAAGCTCTGGCTCTAGGCTTAATGACTTTTTCAGCACAGCCGTTTTTGGTCTCTCCCCTTCAATTGATACGTCTGGTGTTTCTCTGTCAGAGAGATCTGAATGCTGGTTATTCGAGCCTTGTACCTTTGTTTCAAAATTGCTCGGACGTCCTTCGCCGATTCTGGGTCTTCTTGGTAATAAGCGACGGCTGATTCCTGTGCAACGATTCACTGAATCCGACATGCTTCGATGGCATGTGTCCTCCCTGCGTAAAATGGCCACGTCAGCACATTCTGGATCAAAACAGCAAATTTCTCCGGTTAAATACATGGAGGTTTGTTCGGGAAAATCACATTGACAAAACGAATGACGATTCATGTGAACTTTAGTTTAACAAGCAAACTCGTTGCATAAAATTACGCTAGAAAATTATTCTGATCGGATGTCTGACGGTATGGACTTGACATCGATAAAACGTTTTGAACCCATTTTAGACCAAAGTTAAGCCTTTATTATGTGAGGCGTAGGATCAGAAACAATTAAAAACTAATCAGTAATAATTATGATGATCCATTTGCCGCTAATTAAAATCAGACTGATAACAATGAAGGGATGAGAAGTACATCTCCAATTAAGGGCAATGTTTTGTTGTTTTCCTGGTCATTTCCGGTTCGCTACGAAACTAATTACAAACAAATCAGACTTATTATCGAGGCTTGGAACTGTATTTAGTATCGTTTATTATTCTGTTTTCATGGAAACAGAGACCACAATTAATCAGTTACCGGCTGTAACCAAATTCTCGACCATTTTAACACAATTTCGTGCTCGCCTGAATAATGTTAATTTCACAGGATACCAATGTATGAACGGTAGAGAATTTTTGTCCATTTTTACATTTTTACATACTCTAGGGCTAGTTAATATTTATATAAATAATTTTTAATATTTGTGTACGCATAACTCACATTTTATCTTGTTTTGTATTTTTAGCTTGTCGAGCGTTTTTAACATGAACCTCTGGCTCGGAAGATTGTGCGAACACTTCCCACGTCTATGACATTAAATAAACTATTCTATTCTACCACTTCTCGTGCTAAATTCTTTGTGTTCATATATATATATATATATATATATATATATATATACATTATGGTCGTTATCGGCTTGGAAGTGAACTACTTAAGCAATTACTACATCAAGATTGTTTGGATGATTTTTTTTTTAGTGTTTTTTTATAAAAAAATAAAAAAAAAACTCTATGTTAGCGTATAGAGAGGTATATTGCTTGCACCAATCAGCCAACGGCAAATCAGCAATTGAATTTGCATCGTGTGAATTTCTCGGGCTGATTTAGGGCAATAGTGCTTGAGTTTAGTTCATCTGCTTTAATTGCCCTCTAAGTTATCCTTCCTGAGCTACGTCTGTGAGAAACGCCATCCAAACATATTGGAAGATTGTTCTCCTTTCTCTTAGGATAAAGTAACGTGAAATTTTCGTTCTTTTGAAAGTTATGCTCTTTTTCTTTCACAAAAATTTAGACATCAGTTACACAGTGTCTCGACTCGATCAACCCGCCCTGCCAAAAACAACTCTGGCATGCACAGCATGCCCATGTTTTCTTGTGAGTGTCAGTATGGAAATCTCTTTCAGTTGACAATTCAGTTAATACTAAGGAGCGTTACCTCGGCTAATTTTCATTAATAATTTAGCTTTATCAACTGAGTTGATTAAGAAAGCAGTTGGCCACCAGGCCTTCTCCGATTGTGCCCAGCAACTTTTGAGCAACTTTTGGCATTTGAAGCAACTTTTTGCGGTTCTTGCAACCTCGAGCAATTTATATAGCAAGTTTTGGGTTCAGAGCACATATGAAGCACAATAAAGGCAACGACTTCATGAAGAATATCGATCTATGAAAATTTCTTGTATGTTCTGCAGGCCTCTTATTTAAAATTCAAATGGATAATCGGCTTCAACTACGCACAAATATGGATGTCGTTTTTTATTTTCGATTTTAATGAACGGAAATGAATGGTTAGAAGCCGCCTTTGTTTTTTATAGCAACTCTTTAAAGCTAAGTTTATTATTGAGAAGAACTTCTTCATCATCATCATCATCATCATCATTTATTTGCATTTCTAAAATACAAAACAACATTTCTCTACAGCTTTAAAATTTATAGAAGGCGAGATTACCCGGGAAGCCGATTCAACTCACTTTCAACAATGTATTCAAAAAAGAATAAGCGCTGCAAATGTGCAGCTCGGCCAAATTAGTGATCATTTAAGTAAAAACTCGTGCATTTTCGCCTCAAAGCTAGGAAAATTTGATTGATTTTATTTGAAACAGGAAGAGAAAACTCGTGCATTTTCGTCTAAAAGCTAAGATTTGACAAATTAGATTTGATTGAAACAGGAAGAAGGTTCCAAATTTTAGCAACTTTTGATATTCCGATGAGCAACTTTCCAGCATTTTAAGAGCATAATCGGGACGTGGTAAAAGAGTTTCTAAAGCTAACGTTATGAGCATTCGCCCTTTGTCAGTAACTATATGGGTTAGGTTTCATCCGGGTCAGTTTCCATTCAGGTCCAATTTCATCTGGATCAGTTTCCATCTGGGTTTCCTACCCATGGGTAATTTGGCGGACACAGCGGGGCGCACGTCTTCATCACGTGATCCGGGGGATAGTAACACGTTTTGCAAGTACCAGGAGGACAGTCGGGTGGGGGTTGGGAATCACATTTCCAGGGAACAAAGTCCTCAATATTTTCTAGTGATGTTGGAAACTTGATCCACTCAATGGCTTGGGAAACCGTGACTATCCATACGTCGCTCATGGACGTCAATGTTTTTAGAAAGTCTACGGTTCCTGTCAAGAGAAAGAGAATAAACAAAACAATTTTTTAAAAATTGAACAGAAAGCAATTTTTGGACAAATATCATAACTCATTATCATGTGTGTCAGCTAAGGCCACCCCAATTAATTCTTAGAGGTTCTCAACGTACGTCTGCCGAAGTCAGGGGATGAGATATGATGGAAAACGTACGCGTATCAAAGGCGAGCCTCTCTCAGTGACGTCACGGCGCACAATAGAATCCAAGTCTAACAACAGCGAGGTAAGAATATGATCTGCGATTCAGTATTCATCAACACTTCCCAACTCAACACGATTGCGTTAGAAAAGTTCTAAAAATACCTTGTTATAGCCGTAAAGGTGAACAGAAGGAAATCAATTGAGGGGTAGCCTTAGTAAACTTCCTTTGCACAATCCTTATCACTGATAACTATTTGAAATAGTTTATAATTTGCCCTATTTATTCTTAAATCCTATCCACATGAAAGCAACTTTCTGATTATTCCTGAAAAAACTTAAGAATGACGACCTCTAACTTGAGATTCTTGACTTCCGAGTCGAAAATTCGTCGTCGGAAATCGGGAGTGGATGTCGGAAGTAGGAAGTCGGACGTCAGAAGCTGGAAGTCGAAAGTCCCTTCTTAGCTTTCTGAAAAAGATGTCCTGTTTTAACTTGGAACCTACCTTTGTAATAAGTGCCGTTAGCGAGCCACTGTTCCTCTAAGAGCATGTAAAAGGGAGCTCTGTTGGTCGTGTAATGGCGCTGAAAGTTGGTATTGAAGAGTTCGTAAGTCTCCATAGCAGTTTTAGGGAGAGTGCAAGATTCGACGAAATTGCAAAGCTTGCCGTTCAGGTCGGTATAGTCTACTAATGGAACTTCCCACAGTCCCGGGAAAGAATCTACAGATTAGGTTTGAAAAAAAAAGAGAGTTAAAATGATCGTGCAGCATGACAATTTCCCGAGTATTATCTACAGTTTTTCACTGATTTAAATTCAATGTTTTTGGAAGCGCGTCTCTATTAGGGACGTAAAAGCAAAGAAAAAGCAAAGAAATTAGATCGGCCGGCGCGTGGTTGGCAATATTTCATTAACCCTTTACACACTAACATTAACATTTGTAATCTCCACACTTTTCTCTTTATATTTCCCATGGTACTGACAAGGAGAATGTTTCTAACCATGAGGACTATTCCCTATATCCTCACGACTTTTTGCATTTGATCAAAGGGTGATCCTGTAAGGAGAAAGTAAAAAGCCAGTCACTATTGAGGGTCGAAGGGTCAAAACTTTAGCCTCTAAGCACGTTCTCATAGGTGCTAAGCACGAGTAACTCTACGCGCTTTTCTGGTACCCTTTATCGACCGGGAGGTCAACGAGGGGACTGGCACGAAAAAGTCTTCTTTGTTTGTGTGGGTCAGACTCCTTCCGGTACGGTGGCCCGTAGAGGACATGCCACATTTTTTTAATCGCACGATAAATGGAAATTATGACGCGATCAATGAATAATTATGGCGCCATAAATGAAAAATTATCGCGCCATAAATGACAATGTTGCAGCCATTGTGACAAGGGCTGCAACAGTTGAGGAGGTATGTTTTGAGGTCAATAGTTCGTTTTATTTTCGTGAAAAGATTATTGCGAAATCTTACGTGACACTTTCAGAGATGGCTGTCAGTGTTTGAGAACAAGTGTTGATTATCTAATCTTTCTGATTACATCGCAGGTTCGTAAATTTCTAGATGTCACTTCTGCAACGCCAACCCTATCAAGAAAGTACTTTCCAACTGTTGCAGCCATTGTCGTCTCGTCCACGGAAAACAACGTGCGTGACAGCTGATCACAACTTTCCCATTTATCGCGCGATATTTTGATTTTATTGCGCGATAAATGAGATTTACAGAGCGATAAAAAAAATATGCATGTCCTCTATGGGCCACCGTATTCCGACACTGAGACCTCTCGCGCGCTTTGCGAGAGGCCTGCGTGAAGTCACGCCAATGAGAGGCTTGATGACGCACTCCTACTCAAGCGCGCCTTCAGTCCTCAGGTTCTTAACGTACAGTCTTTCGTATCGGATATTGACATTTGAAATTCAATTGGAAAACACCCTGTCACATGACGAAGGTGACAATCCAGAATGATGTCAGACCCCACAAAAATTGTGGTCTGGGGCCGACATCTCTTGATATAACATGTGATCAACAGACAAAAGCACTCTGGCCTCGTCTACAAGGAACGATGCACACAATGGCCAATATGTTTTCGTACATTACACTTCTGTTGTGCGCCATAGCCATCAGTGAGGCTTGTAAATGTGCAGTACCACATCCACAGACTCAATTTTGTAATGCAGACTTTGGTAAGACTTATAGACCTGTTTACTGTATTCATCTAGTTCTTAGTGCTTTTCATGGGAACTTTACAACCGTGATGTGTTTTCTTCGCGACTTGCAATTTGTTGACACCGCATAGCAGGACGCTCCGGACATATTTAATCGATTTACACTTTCCTTGACATGGGATGCCAAACTATTGAGCCACCTCGAAAAATTGATTGAAAAAAGTGTCTCTGTTCTATGATGCGCCTTTATACCATTTCCTGTAGTCTAGATGCGTCTTCGCAATCTAACATCGTAGAGGAACTTAAACTGCTCAGACCAAATTCAAGTTTAAAAGGCGATCATTAGATAAACCCACGCAAATTTTTCAAGTGAAGCTTCGATTTTTATACTCTGAACTTGGGAAGGAACGCCTTTGCAATTATAATTTCTGTTTAAATTCCGCTTTGAAACATAAGTCTGAAATGAAAGCAAAAGTAAATTTTTGAAAAGTCCGATTAGTTTGGCTTTTGTCCCCTGAAATTCTCTGTAATCTTGTTTCAAATTCGGTACCAATGAGAAACTTCTTTATTCTAGCAAAAAAAATTATCAATCTGCTTTCGTAGTTCGGCCTTTGTATAAACTTCTGTTCGTTACATTATTCCGTATCAAATAGAACAGACTTACGTACAGTTTTCAGTCAATTAAAAAATAAATTTATTTGTTGGTAATGTCTTTCATAAGGAACCAGCATTTGTCACTGCAGTTTGAGTTTCTTGGGTAGCATATGACGAGTAAGCAAGTTTTACAGTACTGGAGACGCCAAACAACGAAGTTTGTACTGGATCAGGGCCAGTAAGTCGTGATGGCATTCGGAAACCGCATGCCACAATACAAAATCCGCCATAGATTAAAGGCCATAAAGATTAGTTTTGACAGAAAAATAAACTTCAAAATGACCTCTATGTTGACTTAAGTTATTGTTCAAGACACATTTAGTGCTTTGTGCGGAAATCAATGTTTGTACAATGCAGACGTTGGAGTAGGATAAGAAATATTATTTACCTTGAAGTTTTACGTTCAACCAAAGTGACCAGTTTGGGCAAAAGGTGAAAGATCTACTGTCACACAGTTGTGCCAATCTCGAATGATTTCTCAGAGCGTTTGTTTTCAAGGTTGCCTATTCAGGAGTAATACTTAGCCAATACAAATATAACATGTGAAATTGCAGCTGAAAACGATGCCACACGGTAAAACAGTTCAAAGCATTTCTGGTATGCACTTGTTTGCCTATGTACCGATTTCCTTTATGACGAGGATGCACTTTCCACTCTCCACTTTTCACTAATTTTTTCCATATGTTTCTCTCTCTTTCAAACGTTTCATTCATTTCTCTATTGCCATCACATTTTCCTGGCCTTCCCGCGCCAATCAATTTAGTTCTGATCAAATCGGAAAAACTTAAAAAACGCCCGTACTGAAAGCCATATAGTTAAACCACATGTCGGACTATGATGCGTTTATTCAAGTGAAAAGGAACTGGGTTAATTTGTTAACTATTTGCTTCCTGTCTCTTGTGATAATTAGCTTTGACATCATCATGACTTCCGTTCAGGTTTCCGCAATGTCTGTCACTGTCGTGAACAACAGCACTTTCCAGGATTACACTCGAGTGGAAAATGTTACCACACGATCGACTTCATTCCCCGAAAAGCTTTTGTTTCCAACAGACAGGTCATTTGAACACCTGTCATTGTTAACGATCACACTACTCGTTTCAAATTACCCTTGTGCAAACAAGATCTCTTTTGTGACTCCTCATACTGCTTGCCATACGAAGTTAGTTCGGAAAAAAAATATCAATTAGGGGATTATTAGTTGATCTGATACCAAATTCTCCAAACTAACATCATAAGAATTGTGTGGCGGAAGGTAAGGAGAATTACTGATAAGATCTCTGTATTGAAAGGGTTAACAGAAGTAAGTAAATACCGAATGGCTTTCGACACTCAATTTTATAGACTGACAGTGCTGTTTTTCTCCGACCCCTAGCAATTCGTGCCAGAGTTTTGAGGGAGTCACGAGAAAACGGCAATAAAATTTACTCGCTCCGAGTTCTACGAACCTTTAAAGGTAATTCAACAATCGACCGCATGGCGAGGACTCAAGGCAAGGGGAAGAACACGAAAAGGGTGATTGACGTCGCAACAGAGAGCGAAACCGCTGCCTGTGGCGTACTACTCGACATTTCGAAGGTCTACCTACTTCTCGGTGACGTAGAGACACGTACAGACAGGCAGTTGTTAACAATCAACAACTGTCAATGGCATGCTTTGTGGCAAAACATCTCTGTGCAACAACGCCGCGGGCTCAAGAGGGTTTATGGGCCGAACTGCCGATGTAAAATTGAAAAGTTCTGTTTTAAGAGTCCTCCGAGCTTATGCGACGATATGATTGGTGGATGCGACAAGCCCGCTGCTGGCAGTCGCGTGACCTATTGCCGAAGGAAGCATTCTTATTGCAGTAAGACTGGTGACAAGTGTAGGTGGATCCTTTCAAGAAAGGCTGCTTTCAAAAAATGCTTGCAATAGAGAAGAGTCTATGCCTCTACATGACCAGATAAAGTCTTTTTTCAATACTTCGAAGTCGATTGCTACCGACATTTTAGCGTAGAACGGATGTTCATCGACTGATCTTAACCCTTAAAATGTGATTCATGTAATCCCTTCCTTTAGCTGATATGTATTCCGTGGTAAATTAGTTATGTATTTGGAAAAATAAGGAAATAAAATGTGCCTATTCAGAAATGGTTTGCCAAGCTCTTGGCTCGTCGCTGTTCATGGCAAAGTATAGAAAGGTGTGTTTATTCTGAGTCTCAATGCTGAAACACTGCAACCAAATGATCCTTTTCCTAGAATAGGAAAAAGCTGCGACAATGAGTTTTATCTAGGTTATAAGTCGTGGAGAGTTTCTAAGCTGACGTTAGAGGCATTAGCCCTCATGATGGGAGGGTCATGAAACCTAATTGTCTTGTAATATACCTCAAACGACGCAGCACCACAGTTTCTTAGGAAACGTTTTTAGAGAGTGAGGTCATCAGAATAATGAAATCATCACCAGCTGAAGAAGCTTTGATTGTTAAACAAATTCTCCTTGTCAGCACCCTAGAAAAGGTATAGTGAACAGTATGGAGAATATGCATACTGATGTTAGGGTGTAAGGATTAAACGAATTATTTTACTTACCGGTCGGACAAGGCTCGATAACACAATCTTGGGTTGATTGGTAGTCCAGCGTATAAGGCCATAAAGGTGGGTCCCTAAAGACCTGAGTAGGCATCGAAGACTCGTACAGGAAACCCAGGTTCCGAAGCGCCCTGAACTCCGTGTTTCCACCAACCTGGATGTAGGGAGCCCTGTAACCCATGATATCTTCCACTTGGACGTTGCCCCGTTTGCGTAAAATCTCTCTCATGCCTCCTATCTCCTGCTCCTGTTCTTCCTCGGTTGTAGTTGCCCACCAGGTTTGTGGAAGACGACGGGAGATGGAGTTGTCAGCGATTTCGTGGCGTTGGTGGTACAACGTTTGCAGCATGCAATAGTTCGTGTACTCGTGTGACACGAAAAATGTAGCAGAGATGTTGCAACCATTGGGGTTTTTCAACCTGCCGTTGAATAGCTCTTCGTACAGAGGAAAGGCATTGTCAACCAAAGCGGCATCAAATGAGATCATTACAATCTGAGGTGTCGAAAACGGTGATAAATTGCCAGGGATTTTGGTTCCGCTGCAGAAGCAGTCGGGCAGTGTGCAAATATTTGGGTCGCATGGCTCAGCTGAATCTGCTGCTTTAGCTTGCAAAAACAATACTAACAAGATGATAAGGGGTGTAACAGCTCTTGAAGAAGACATATTCAACTGCTTTGTGCACTTTGCTACGGAGACCTTTTTATAGAAAAGTTCCTCGTTTAGGCCTGTCCGTCGAGACTGTCAAAAAATTCCCTGATGAAGTAAAGTGTTAATTTTTATTTTTCTGGTTACACATCATATGTTATTTTCGACAACAGGAAGTGAACCAGTAGAATTCCAAAATCAACCTCTTTCAAGAATTTTGTGAAACTAATTACGAATCAAAAACCTGTTTAAGAAAGCAGAAATTATTTGCTTTCCTGAATTAAGTTTTTTTCTTTTTTTTCATCAAATTAGATTTAGCTCAATTTAATTGACCTTGGATAACCTCTAATTCTTAGAAAGATTTAGCAAATAGTGATTTATTTCAGTCTTTTTGTGACATGTTTTAGTTTTTACAGGAATAGAAGTATTTCACGCAAGCACTGTCATATTGATATATTCCTTTATTTCTCAACTTTTCCTTGAAATGGCGTCAAATTTTGAATTCGTCACGCGCCTCACCCCCTTCGCGACGATTGCGTGAGAAGCACTCAGATCATGGTTCCTAACCCCCTGGAGTTAGGGGAGGTGACCCGCCTGTCCATGCATGTAATCTCTTATTTTATCTTGATTACGTGTACATGATAGATGGGGCGACCTGCATAGGCGGGTTGCACGGTCTGCTGGGTAGGGTAACCCTTTCAGCAGGGGCGACAATTTGCCAAGTAACGTCTCAAGGTGAGGTAGCCCGCCTAGCCGGGGTCGCATTCATGTTACAAAAAGATCAGATGAGCCAAACAATAGCGAAACAGATATGTTTTAAAACTGTTTCATTTTTCTTGGCCGTCCCATACTGAACTAAAACGTTTAAACACCAACTTTACGTCCCCTTGAAAACTCGATAGCAATTTAGTCATGTTTTAGCTTTCAACTCAACAGTACATTCACATGTTATGCCGAAGTGAAGACGTCGCACCGTCAGAAACATAACACATCGATAAAAAAAAATAGATGAAAACAAATTCACTTTTTTCGGCAACGTTTTATCACAAGTCGCCGTCGTGATATCTTAACTCCCTAACTGAAAGCGCGACAACAACCTCGAGAAACTTCACCCCGGCATCCCGGGTTTGTAAGATTGTATGTAAACGCGGACTATTTTCGACCACTGCTAAACAGGCCCTAAAAGTAATCGGATCATTTGATGATTTTTTTTTGTCACGTCAAGATATCGACAGTGATCGATGAAAGCTGTCAAATTGGGGGGGATCACGGTGTTTGTTCAAGTTTGCAAGTGATGCGAAACTACCACGAAATTCCGGAAATAAAAAAATAGTGTGACGCCTAAATTGACGTCACGCGACGACGGGTTTTACCCAGAAACGGAATTTCAGTCGGCTATAAATCAATGCGACTTGTACTAACTTCGTCTTTGAGTCACTGCTAAGAGAGAAACAGGATCAGTTGAAAGTCAACAGCTCAGCGATTTGAAGATCATGTCGTGGCTAATCAATACAGCATTCGTTTTGATCTTGATGTGTGTGGAAAGTGCCTCCGGAGCAGTCCTTAAGTTTCGTGGACATGAACCAGCTCAGCCATGTTCACCAGATATTTGCAAGCTTCCCGACTGCCGTTGTAGCGGAACAGACATCCCTGGAAATCTTCCACCAAATAAAGTTCCGCAAATGGTTATGTTGACCTTCGATGACGCTGTAAATGACCAAGTGGACAAATATTACCAGGATCTATTTGGGACTGGCGAACTGAAAAATCCAAACGGTTGTACCGTAACAGCCACTTTCTTCGTGTCGCACGAGTACACGGAGTATCAAATGGTACAAGCGCTGTACCACAACAGGCACGATATTGCGGATCATACAATCTCACACAGAACCCCCACTTCCTGGTGGAAATCAGCAAATTACAGTCAGCTGACGGACGAAATTGCGGGACAGAGGGAAATTTTAAGAAAGTGGGGACAGGTCAAGGCAGAGGACGTCGTTGGATTCCGTGTACCCTTCTTGCAGCTCGGGGGCAACACAATGTATCAAGTTCTGCATGATAACAAGTTCCTGTATGACTCGTCCATGCCAACCCAGAAGTTTACGGATCCGCCGATGTGGCCCTACACGCTGGATTATCGATCGACACAAGAATGCGTTATTCCGCCATGTCCTACAGGTGATTATACCCCAAAGAAATCACGGACTTGAATTGCATTATTTTAAGCGCCGATATATTCGAAGCATCAAATTTCCCCCTGAAACACACGGGCATTTGATTGTCGTCCGTGTCCGAGGAGTGGGAAATTTGAACCTTGCGCGGGTTGGGTGAGAACTTTAACCGGAACTGTCATTCGGTCAAGTCTTTCAGCGGCAAGCACGTGTTTTATCTTTTAATAAGGAAGATTTTGAAGGAAAAGAGTTCACTTTCGCGCGCAGATGGCTCAGAAGAAAAGGTCTACAAATTCATCTCTTGGGTAGAGCATAAGAACCCTATTTTGGCTCAGGAGGGGCGTAAATTTGTACAAACCAATCTTCAAAAGTTCAAATGCCAGGGTGGTTGCCCGGGGGATGTTGAAGCTTCGAATTGATCAACACATTACCTGCCCGACTGTCGGGCGGGAGAGCCAGGGAAAAATAAGATAATAATATCTCTTTGTTCCGGTCACCTAAACTTGTCGTAGGTTGTGAAACAGCAATAGAAAAGGCCGCGCTTGGACGAGAAGGACTGGTGTCCTGTGTTAATCTAGCTGGCTTATCACGCAGAGTGACAAGTGAGTAGGTAGGATCTTATGTTTGGTATGTTTTGTCTTACGCTGTATTTTGTTTTTCAGATTCATTCCCTGGTCTTTGGGAGGTTCCTATGATCGACTACACCGATTCACGAGGAAATCCATGCAATATGATTGACGAATGCTACGCACCAGCCAATGAAACGGAAGCATATGATCTATTGTCGACGAATTTTGAGCGACATTACACCACGAACAGAGCACCATTCCCCATGTTTCTGCACGCTGGATGGTTTGCGAGATATCCATACACTTTAACTGGTAAGGATACAAGAATCCTATCAGGACTGATGCCAGTATCTGGGCAACTGCGCACCTACCCCTCCCCTAACCCAACGACAGTAAACTGAAAACAATTTAGGGTTAAAGTTGAGTTTAGGGAGGGGTACGTGCGCAGTTGCATATGTACTGACTTTAATCCGGATATAACATTATTTGTCTTCATTGAAGTATTTGAATGTAGGAAAATTAAGCCCTAATTTCTAAGATAGCAAAATACCCACTATCATTCATTTTTTTGCTAATTAGAGAATTTGGCGTTATATCGGTCAAGGCCATTTCCCTTGGTTGATCAATGTCCGTATCATAACAACTGTACACCTACCCTAAACCCAACATTAACAAATTGTCTTGCGTTTATCTCTCAGCGATGGAAAAATTCCTCCAGGACATACTCGCTCGTGGAGACGTTTGGGTGCTTGGAATAAAACAAGTGATCGAATGGATCAAATCGCCAACCAGTCTTGACGACATCGAAAATTTCGCCCCCTGGAAATGCGACTCGCCTCCCCCGCCCCCGGCCTGTTCCTCCCCGAACGTCTGCAGTTTCCCCGACGACCCGCATTACTTGTACACATGTACCCGCCCCTGTCCCGCTCATTACCCCTGGGTCGGAAACCCGGACGGAAACTAACTTCAGAGTACGAATGTCCCGGATAAAGAAATACGCTCGCTTAAAATTTCTCCAGTTGAAGCAAAAATGAAAAAAAAATATTGTTACACAAATAACTGTGAATTCGAAAGGACTTTTGAACGTAGCTAGGATTAACGTGCTACTTGACAATCTTGGAATTAAAGATGTATCGAGTAAATTAACGCTTTTTGCATTAATAACAGAAAAGAAAAGCTTTAGAGATCTGTTTTGCTTTTGTTTGTTAATAAACCTTTTTTTTTGATCAGAGGAACTTGATGGTTTCGGGTCTCTTCAATAAACAGGCGAAAATTTGTTCGATTACGTGCTTCATCTCTGATCTTGCTGAAGCTTGGTTGAGGGTATTCGCAAACAATGCTGGGCAGACACGGGCGCAGTGAGCACTTTGGGTATTAGATACTTAAAAGCAAAATCCTTTAAATCTACTAAGCTGCGCAGTGTGATTTACACAAGGCTTACTCGGCAAAGGTTTGTGTAATTGAAATTATTAACATATTGTTCATAATTGAGGTATAGCTTTTCAACCAATCATATTGATCCATAAGTTAGCGCCTCGTCTCCATGACGTTATGTTGCGGCGTCACGTGATTGACAACAAGCAAGAGGGCAATAAATAAGTGCTTGACGACATTGAGAGCGATTTGACCTGAATTAACGCGCCGAAGTGTTTTAAAAAATCGTCTCCCCTTTTGGCGAAACTATGAGTAACAACTGCTCCTGCTGAGAAAGCATAACTATGTCGGCTCATAGTAGCGGTCTTCTGCCTCCGGATGAGGTAAGAGTTACGCTAAATTTTTTCGAACTTGAACCGGCGTGTGGATTGTGAAATTGAGAATACTTCTTCCTTTTGTTTAGTTGGCAGATTTACACATTTTTGTCGTTCCCTTGGATCTGTGGCTCGAAAAATACCGAACAGCCTTTAACAACATCGCTTTGGAGTCCGTTTCTGCTGGATTTGTCCGGTAATTATACCGTTTCGTCTTCAAGCGGGAAGAAATAACACGGCGATTTTATAGTCGTCAAGTGTCTGAAATGCCTTTCATTCTACAATCAACGTTTTCTACGGTGTTTTCCTGCTCATCGGAAGTGTTTTGTTATTTCTACAGGGTTCAGCCGTATATTTCTTTAAACCATCTACGAGATCACATCGAGGAACAACTAGGACCAGAAGTTGTTCCAGAAGACTATATATTCTTGAGATCTGTTGGAAGATGTATGGCCGTGGTAAGAAATCGAATCTACCAGAGATCAAAATAATTTAGAGTTCTTAGGCTATGAACTAGGAAAGCTTATTAAAATGCTAGATTTGTTCTCAGAGGTACACAAATCATTCTTCTGTAAGCTTTCCGTGAGATAGGCGAGGATCATAGAATATACCAAATCGAGTTACGTTAAGTGCGTTGAATTTAGTTCATTGTTTTTATCTCGTAATCTTTTACACGTTAATTTTGGTCGATTGTGTTTCTGGTTTCAAGTATTGACGTTAAAAACACCTGCCGACTAAAAGGACAATAACTTGAACTGTAAATTACCTCTTCGTCCTATTTTGCCGTTCTGTTAAATTATTTATGGTGTCGGGAATTTGCAATTGTAAATTTATTGAGCTTAGTCTTAGCGGGACAGGTGAATGTCAGATTTTTGAGTAATAAAAAAACCTTGGCATTTTGAGCTTTACCCAGCTTTCCTTTGTTGACCTTGGTTCTGACTCAGCTTTCATTACTGTCATATGACTCTATATCTAAACGATGACTCGGTTTTAATTATTCGACGATGAGTGATACTCTATCGTTTTTATGGTCTTACCTTATCTAAGATATAGAATTCATGCCATATTTGTTATCTGATATTATTATGATAAGAAAACTTCCTCTCTTTTGTTATTAGTCAGAATTGATAAATAATACACTTTCTTTGCAAAGTGGTTTTCAGTGTTTCCTATATTATTACGCCTATGGTTCAGATGGATTTTTGAGAAAAAAAATACATCTTTCATCACGAATCTGCACACTATAAACAATGTGATAAATTTTCCTTGGTACTCATTGTTCCGGCTCATTTTTAGGTCAAAGAAAATCAAGAGCGTTTGCTCAAAGCCAAGGACTTTTTACCACCTGTGGTAAGCCAGCCTTTTTTTTTCCCTTTATTTAAGTACATTTTGTTTTGCATTATACAGAAAAAGAAATACACAAAGTGTTTGCATAATACTGCATTTCCATGAATAAGCACCCGGAGCTTATTTTAAATTTTGGCCTGAAGGAGAGGGGGGCAGGGGGGGTTTTGGAAAAGGGGGTCAGTCAGCTATTCAAGAGGGGTGCTTGTTTGACATTGTGGCATAAGGGGTGAGTGCTTATTCACACACATTTTAGATTGTGAGCACTTACTCTTGGAAATTCCATATATACTTTTAAAGGAGAGTTATCAGTTCTAGTTAAAACTTTTAATCCTGGATTGGTTCAAACTGTGTTTTGAATGACAAGGCCCTGATCTTAAGTTTTAATGTGTTGATGGATTTACAATTATTCTATGAGCATGTGTTGGATATGGCTATAATCATCTTATATCCAACAAGCACAATTGGAAGAATTGTCCAATTAAAAACACCCCAAAATTTAAAATGAATGTTGCCAACTTTATTTTGTAAGAACCAAGTTATTGAATGTTAAAATGTACTAAAACACTTCCAATTTAACTTGTCTTCATGGGCACACATGGTATAACGGCCCATAATCCATGATGAAAAAGCCAATAAAAACTGCATTATCCAGTGATCCAGTTTTTGATAATCAGTATGAAATACAAATATTAAAAAAAGGTTGTCTCTTTACAGGCTTATAGTCCAGAAATATTTATCCTTCCTGGAACTCATGATGCCTTTGCAAGGCCAGCAGAGAATGCTACCAATACCATTATACAAACTCATGGCTTCACAACTGGTAAATTACTGTTGACTATTTGACTCTCTTTTTAGTTTTTATAGTAACTATTGTGAATCTAATGCACAAAAAATTCAATCTACATGTAGCAAAAGGTAGAGACTATGGATGAAGGTGTTTAAAATTTGAAGATAAAGAAAAATTTAGCGATCACTCAAACTTGAAACTGCAAATTAACATTATGTATGGTTGGCTCAGAAGCTCCTAACACCCTTGATTTTTAATTTATTGCTACCAACTTGAGAAGCTCTTGACGGTTGAACAATTTCTCCTCGTCAGTACCTGAGAAAATTTATAGAGAGCAGTATGGAGAATATACATGCTGATGCTTCGGTGGAAAGGGTTAACCAGTATTAATATGACAGATTCTGACATATGCCCTTTTTTTTTTTTGCAGCTGGTATGGCATCCATTCAGCCTCATCAGCTTCCACCTGCAGGGTTTATCCAGCAACCATTTGTTCATCAAAATGTGCTTCCAGGTGGTTATAATAACCCTCACCAATCTACATTACAAGGAGAGCCAAATGGTTCTCTCAATCGTGTTGAGAAAAGTGGCAGATCTCAAAAGTCTGTTTCAGAAGATGAGGGAAGCAGTGACCATGAGAGAACACAAGACGACGGAGATCAAGAGAATGGCAGGAGACGGCAATCATTAGAAGACAGAAGTGGTGGATCCTCAGAGAATGATGGTGGGTTAGAGGATGACAGAAAAGAACATAAGAAAAAACAGAAAAAGGAAATTCAGAATGAAAAACCACAAGACAACTCATCCACTCCTGCTGCATCCAAGTTGAAAAAGAACAAAATACAGAAGAAAGGAAGCAGCAGTTCAGATGGAAGTAATCAATCAGAAACCAAAAGTGTGAAGTTTATTCAACCAGAGGTGTATCAGACTCTGACTCTTCCTGGTCAAAATGGGGCAGGGGTGTCTCCCCCAACACCTATTCCATCTGGGCGTGTCATTTCATCACCATTTCCAGGCCAAGAGGCTGAACAAGTCATAGCTCATTCTAGAAATGTGGATTCTACTGATATACATGCAAGTAAGGATAATCCAAGTGGTAAAATAGATGAGAAAGGTGCAGCTGATTTAAATAGGAAGAAAAAGCCTGCTGATTCCAAAGGAGGGAAAAAGAAAAGGAGAGACAGATCGCGATCACCTTCTGTTGAGCGAACTCAATCCAAAGAACAGAATGGTCAAAAGGAAGATAGTAGATATGTTATTTATGAGGTTACCAATGATTCAGCTGTGTATGGTGAAGTGACAATGAGTCGTGTAGATACGCCTCCAAGTTTAAGTGAAGTGGAAGAGAGATCCAAGTTTGTTCAGTTCCCCTCTCCAGCCAAAGGAGCAAGAAGGCCAACACTGCCTGATGAACTGGAGCATGACAATGCTATTGCAAATGGATTACAAGACTTGAATGCGTAAGATTTTCAGTTTTCTCATGTTTCAAGAGCAAAAATCCAAAATATATTATTTTCATTCTATGGTATTTGACACCTAGGCCCTGTTGTTCAAAAGCCAATCAGCACTAACCCAGAGTTAAATTTTCATCTGGGTTTCTTTAATTTGTTTCAAAGCCTGTTTTGAATAATTTTCTCTATTCTTTTTGGAGCATCCAATCATAATGTTGTAGACAAAATGTTATTTAAAATTTTCTCTTAAAGCTCTTAGAACTGAAATCAGGTTTCACTCTAACCCTGGATTGTCTTAACCCATTTTTGAACAACTCAGCTCAGCTTGCCACTGCATAAGAATAAGAGCACTGAATTCCATACAAAAATTTAAATGAAAGTTTTGTGGAATTCTTTTATAGTAGTAGTACAGTGATAGATCCCAATTTTATATATATCTTACATTTTTTTTCAGGCTTAATCTGCATGATAGTGAAGACAATTTGGATGGCTATCAAAACGGTAGTGAACAGGAAGAACTGGCTGAAGAAATTAACGACAACAATGATCAGAGAGGATTCAATGATGCACGACTTAATGACAAGAAAGATATTTCAGGGGACACACAGCAGGGTGCAGAAGGAGATAGAGCTGCAGGCAAGGACAGCAATAAAATGGGTACAAAAGACGATACAAAGAAAGGTAGCGTGAAGGCAAATGCTACAAAAGGAAAAAAAGTGGTGAAAAAACCTGCTAAAAAACCTGTCGAAAGTATTGAAAACAAATTCAAAATCCCTCAGCTTCCCAAGGCCCCCACGCCACCCCCCATGAAGTACCCCAAGAGGGGTGATAAGGAACTGGAGGCAGACAGTGCATCAGCTAAGGATAGGAAACGTCGTGAGATAGAAGAGTTGAAGGCTGAGTTGAGAAAGGCCAAGAATGCAAGGGTGGACATGGAGAAAGAGAGAGAGGCAAAAGTACGGAGAGCCAAGATGTTACAGAATCAGATGATGCAGAAGAGGAATCAATGTAGGTGAAACTTATTATTATGTTGCGGTTCATTGCTATTTTCAATAAGACCTTTGTAGTACTGTATTCCTTTAAGGCATGCACAGCTATTATTCTTGTTTTCTCGTCACCATATTTACACCAATAGCGTAGCTCCATTTTCTGCATATAAATACACACAACCCACAATTCCTCCATTCGCTCTGACGAAGGGCTAACGCTCGAAATGTCATCGTTTGAAACTCTTTACGGTGACAAATTTACATTAACAGCTCGGTTGGTAATACTAAATTACCCTGATATACTCTCCCACCGACGCAGCACCATAGTTTCTTTAGAAACCTACCCCCTTTATTTTTTCTGATGGTTTTGTTTAATTATTTACCGTGATCAGGATAATTGTCTTTTTTTCCATTTATGTGTAAATGTACTAAGGAAGTTTAAATAGAAAAAAGCCGTTATTTGCTTAAGAAGACATACAGAGAAGGATACTTGTATGCATAGTTATATGACATTGTGCAGGTTTCATAGTCATGAAGAACATTGCATAGTAGAAGCCACAATTAACATACTCACCTACAAAATGGAAAATACAGAAATAAAGAGTCCGCAATTCATCTTGTGGACGCGTGTATTAACTTTACTTTTTCTTACGTGCAGCAAAGAAATTTTGTCTTCTCGTCTTCTGTTGTCTTGTGGATGCATGTATTAACTTTGACCTTTTTTTTACGTGCAGCAAAAAACATTTGGAAGAAGAAGTTTTTTGAGGAGAAGAGAAAAACAGCTGCATTAGAAGAGCAGGTCAACAGACTGAGACATGAAGTCGATGCTCAACACAAAACTCTAATGTCTTACTTGGAAAGTAAAGGTAATGGTCCTATGCATGGTGTTTTCATCAATTTGAGTGAGTTTTGAAAGCATTCCAGGATTGCATTGGTTTTGCTCTGTTGTACTCTGTGATTGTTCCAGAAAATTCAAGCCCCCCTCTATGCCAATCATTTGCAAAACTGAATCCAATCGTGGCTTGTTGACCGACATGTTCTCCATGCGTGAGGCGCTTAACTTGAATTTCTTCTTATGCCTCTTTAGAAAGGGAAGGCGGAAGACCTCAAGCGGGAGTGGACTTCAAGTCACCGTCTGAAAAGGTAACATAAGGAACATATTTCAATAACTCCACTTTATGACTTGTCTTCAAAAATCGATACACTTTGTCAACTAATAAGTTGTAAATCAATCGTGACAAGGTCATCTGCGCCTAAAAGCAGTCACGCAGTTTTAGTTAAAGTTCTCATTGGCTCCGTTTAATATTCGTCTTTGTTTTGATTGGCCGCTGTGATTACTTGTATTTTCTTTGTTTGCTGGTAGGTTCTATTGTCTTAGTGAAGTAAATGCTAATTGCCATAACTGAATTGGAACTCAAAATGTTTTTTTTTTCTCTACTCACAGACAAACCAACGCATGTCTCTGGCACGATTGCAGCATGAGGTTGAAGAACTACGGAGGAGAATTGAAGAACTGAAAGCTAAACTTACGGCTGAAATGAAGGTTCGATTCACGCTTTTCTTTTTGTGTTTTGTTTTCCTAGCTTCCTTCTTTGTCATCAATCGTCGAATCAGGTTGCACTGTATGTATGGAGTGCCTTGCTTCAAGCTTACACTGACTACAAATGGTAGTCATTTAAAATGTAAACTTGATCAGTGCTTAAAAAAGGGGGGGGGGATGTGGGGTGGGGTAAGGAAATTTTGTTCGTGACACAATAAAATTTACCTGACTCCTCTTCCCCCTAAAGTTCTGTAGTATTCTAAATATCTCTCCCCCAATTGACAGTCAATTTGCTAAAGCTCCACTTTGTACTCTGTTAGCGACGTCGCTAATCCCTTCTCCGTCCCCCCCCCCCCCGAAAAAATCCGACGCCCTCCCCTTCCCTCCCCCCCTCGGTGATAAATAATCAGTGGTCCTTAACACTATTGCTAATCATTCATCAAGGCGCAATCTCTTTTTTTTTAATGACACCAAATGAAAAATACTTCAAGCTGTCATAATCCACCTTGTAAACATTCGCTAAACTGATCTCGACGTTGATTTTTTTTAGAATCGTGACGCCGCCCAGAAGGAGTTGAAACAAATTCGAGAGGATTTGATGGAGAAGAAGATCAACCTTACTCTGACGAAATCACAAAAAAGCCTGGCAACTCTGGCGAACCCGGAAAACATTGCTGTGTGATACGTTACGTGTGTGTGATACATTTCGTGTCGTGATCCGTTACGAGTGTGATACGTTACGTGTTGTGACGCGTTATGCGATGAAATAGCTGCAGTAAGAAACTTTACTGGCAGCAGTCAGACCTCAAAGTTAAGACGTGTGCTATGAACGGTTGTTTAACATCAATTCCACAAACATTTAATAGCTGAAAAGAAGTGTTGTGAACTATAATTTTGTTGATCACTTTGTTCAAAACAATATTAACGTATATTTATTTATGTTCTCGATCATTAATGTCCAAGAAGTACATCTCATATATTTTTTAAGAAAATTAGACAGTGGACTTAAAACCGCTATAGGTAATTTTTCTACAGAAATAAAATGGTAATCGTAAATGGTGTTTTTCTCGTGGAGAAAAAGAATCCCTAACATCTGTTTATTACTATCACGCCGCCCACCCACCCCCCACACCATTAACTTTTTTTGTACAACTTCAATATAGAACTGACTTTCTCTATAGAAATGCATCATGACTTAATAAATTATTATAGTTAAGTGCATTTTCGCAGCAACGGTGTCTGTACCTTCTGTTTATCATGACCCCCTTCCCCCTCCTCCCACCCCACCTCATTCATTTATACAACCTTTCAACAGAACTGAATGAATTTTTTGTGGCGGGGTAAAAAGCTGAAATTAGTGAGCAGCATTACAAACCAACAGTTCAAAGAGTTAAGTCTAGCTTACGCATACTTCTTCAAGGAGTTTGCTGAAAACAAAATTGATCTAAATTCGGTTTATTGAAATATGTGAAAAAATTGTGTCGTTTTAGAACACAACAATAAAGTAAATATTGTACATTAGTGGCGTAATGTCAATTAACAGATTTTGGCCAGGCGCCCAAAACCACAAGAGAGCCAACGGGTAATCTAAGTGAAGTAGGCGCTTGATGGTGTAAATTTTGATGGATGCTAATTTCAATCCTGCATGGTGTTTGAGATTGTTCCCTTTATTCTTCACAAATGAATGAGAAAAAAGCCGAAGACATCGAGGGGCCCGTTAAACCACCAAAAGATGACGAAGTTCCATTCATTATGGCAGAAAAACCGGCTGGAAACGAAAAACGACACAATGCTATGAACGAAGGAGAGCATAGCAGGTCGCTTGACGAACAAGTGAAACATTTGGAGCGAAAGATCCGCGCATACAGCAAAGCTAAAGACAAAGTTAATGAAGGAGAAGCTCTGAGTAGCTTAGGAATACTCTATTACAAGGCAAACAGATTTGCTGAGGCTAAAAGCTGTCATGAACGACATCTTAACTTAGCAAAAGCTATTCAAAACAAACGCGCCGAAAAGAGAGCATATTGTAATCTGGGTTGCACTTATCGAAGGATTGGTGACTTGGATAAAGCTGTTGAATGTTACGAACAGGGTTTAAGACTTGTAAAGGAGCTGGAAGATAGACTCGGTGAAGCAAAACTCTTGAATAACCTTGGAAATATTTTTGAGCAGCGCTGTGACTTTGACCAAGCTGTGTATTGTCATCAAAAACGTCTGAGCGTCGCCAGAGAATTAAAAGATTTAGACGGCGAGAGCAAAGCTTGTGCGAGTTTGGGAAACATATATCATTTGCTGGGGAATATTCGAGAAAGCATCAACTATTACGAAAAGCTGGTGGCGTGTTTAAAGTACAAGCTAGGTAAGTAAAATAGTGCGAAGATTTCTTAAGATCTGGGCAGCCAACCACTTTATGCAAATAACACTTTTGTGTTTACAGCTGAATAGCATTCGTAACAGGTATCCAAGAGTATAATTAATAATTCATACATTTTTTAAAGCCGAAATATTTAAAGTACATGTATCTCCAATTTGATAGAAATAAGGGAAGAAAAACATAAGAAAACCTGCGGTAAAACGATAAAATGTTAGGCAAAGAAGGAATGAATTTGAATCTTATTCGGAGAAGAAGCCTCTAGCTTCATCGCTTATCTACATTCAGATGTAAATTCGATCGAGTCGACGTTTTGTCTTTTGACATATCAGAGCCTTGAATTTGACATTTGCGTCAGTCCAACTGCATCCATTTGATAACTATAGGTCAGTGCAAGGTCGGGATGTGTTAGAATATAGAATGGTTCGGTCTAGTAAGCGAAGTTTTATTAACGGTACCTTTTTTAATCATCTTTTCTGTTGTTTTGTTTTGCGTCATGTTATTTTACTTAGGACTTAAAGGAAACCACAAATTTGTATTTTCAAAAGATAAATATCACAAATCTTTGTAACATATCAGTGATTTGATGTTGTCCGTATGACGTTTTTTAAAAATTTTCTTAGCAGTCTGAATTCGTGAAACGCAGAAATGGATAATATTTAAGTGGCCTCTCTATACTGTCGAGTAACTGTTATGATTAATTTTTTTTGTCCTAAGCTTGATAAATGCTTCGATGTTTCGTTTGCATTTTTTTATATGATGGTCCTCCAGAAAAAAAAGGTCCCGATATGCCAAAGGTTCCTTAGCCGTTAAACTCTTAGAAGTGATTAACATGCAACTTCTCCCTATAATATCCATACTTTATCAAGCAGACAGGTAATGAGAATACTCATACTCATCAGGCAGAAGTTAACTTAATCTAACACCAAAGTCTCACGACCAATTTATAAGGAAATGTGTAGGAGTAAGAGGGGAGAATCTGCCATTAGATCTTAGGAGTTTTTGTTTTCTTGTTTGATAGCCATGCAAGAAAAGAAATCGAAAAGCGAGGAGGGCTCAGAAGACTGCTCTATGCCGGGTAGCTCTTCAAATAAAATGGGAGATGACTCCAAAAAGTCACGAGCGAGGAGAGGAAGCGATCTTGATGAACAAGGTAGTAATAGCAGTAAAAGTAGTGGTGACAGGAGTGGGAACGGAAGTGGTAAGGGGTCTTCTATTCACTGAAGAGGAGACAGCTCGAGCAGCAGAATGATCTAACTTTTCAAATTGTGCTCACAGTGGAATGGAATCAAACGAAAAGGGCGAGCGTGCAAATGATGAAACAGCAGCTGTTTCCATGATCAGCAGAGCTGCCGTTTGTGGTTAACTCGCTTTTTCACTCGTCTTAACTTGCACGAGAGCCTGGAGCAGCTTAACTATTCGGAAAATAATTCATTCATTAGTGGAAATTATCGAAAGACTCAAAGAGCTCAAAGAAATTCGGTTGACATGAAGACTGTACTTATTGACTGAGTGGGAGGGCCGAACACGAGGATATTTGGCTCGAGGTCATGCGTGATGAACAGAACCGAGCGCAGCATATTCTCTAAAGACTGCCCCTTTTCTTTTCTTCCTTATTCTTTTAGCTCGCATCTTGCGAAGCCGCACGGCTTTCTACAACCTTGCTTGCTGCGTAAAGCGGGATTTAAAATTTATGCAATGCTTTTCAAGTAAAGCGCGCGGGGGGCCGCAGGGGTCGTCATATAAGTGGAGATTCACAAGCAGATATAACATGGTACGATGTGGGTGCCTGTACAGATTCAGAAACTTGTACCCCTGTCAGCCTTGAATCAAATGTAAAGGTCATGAGAGTAAGGGATGTTATCGCCAATTTAAGAAGCTCCTGATTTTCAAACAAGTTCTCCTTGCCACTCATAGCAAATTTAAAGAGAACAGTATGAAGAGATATGACAACCAATGTGAGTGTGTTAAGGGTCAGCTTGACAAAATGAAATCCTGAGTTACTGGTCTGAACACAAGCCGGATCTTTATCGCCCCGCGTAAATGTAAATAAGAAAGTGGCTAAAAATAAAAGACCTATAACTAGAAACAGGACTTAAGTGGACACGGTACTTTCCTCAACGACAAGACTTCGAGTAGTCCCCCCCTAACAACTTACTTCGCCGTTAAGGAGGGACTCCTCATGTAGTCTACTTAAAGAGTGAATACAATCATACAGGTCATAAACGTAACGATGAACGTGGTAACGGGAACGCAATCTCAGCTCTTTCCCCATAACACTGTAGTTTGGAAAAATATTTCATAAATTTGTTTGGAAAGGAATTCCACACAAATCAACCAGTTCGGAATTGCACTTAACTTCACTACGAGACAACGATAGCCCCTGATATCCAAGAAGACCTCTTTCCTTTATAAGTAATCGATATTTTATTGTTTTCTGCCTACAAATCAACGTATGTATGTGTTAAATTTTACAAAATTCATAATTATAATTACGTTTTCAGCCAATTAGCGGTCGTATAAAAATACACATCATAGTCAAAGGCTTACCTGAGACGCAAGCAAGCAAAGATGTCTATTTTTTTTTGTTTCATAAGCTCAGCCTACAAAGTTATTAAATCTTTGAAAATAATGCATATTGCTGGTTACAATGTTCCACACAGGAAAATTTCAGGCATTACAAAATTCCTTCAAATCTATGACTGATTCGCTCTAAAAAAATTTTAAATACAACTGAAAAAAATACAGTATTAATTAATCGAGAATTTCCTCTACCACTCAAACAAAGTGCCATCCTTTACCTTCTCTTCAGAACATAGAAAAAACGTCAACAAATTACAAGCCTTAAAATAAAAAAGTTTACAGCCAGAAAAGGCTGCATAAATAACAAATAATTATACTAAAGGTATTTGCAGAGAAACTGAGTTTATGTAGAAACTCTATGTTATGATAAAGCCAACGTATGGTTATAATACCATGGCTACCACTGCCATGGTAACCGCAAACCTCATTTCAAAACTGACTTCCAGAGGAGAGCATTAAGTAACTTATCCTCACAATTTAGTGTATTTTGACTGACTGCCGTAATACCAAACCAAAAGTTTACAACAGCCAATCAGATCAAAGAAAAGATCACGAGAAACCAACGAACTGGTCCGAAGCGCAGGAACACGCAGGCGACCAAATTTCCTTGACCAATAACATAACGAAATAAAACAAAGCTAATAATAATGACATTCAATTGATTTTCAAAACCTTGAAAAGAGACAGGTTTTGAGAATAAAGAAGTTTTCTAGTATTTTCTCCGTGGTAGTGAAAAGGCAAAATTCTCTGAACGGAGTAAAGCACTGTTAAACAGATTTTGCCGGAGCAAAAGCACCCCAGATGGCGATCAATTCTTGATGTAATTCTCTTCCTATCTAGCTACAAGTAATTTGTACCGATACGAAACTAGGATGGATAGGAATCTGTTTAAAAAGAACTCATAGTCGCAATCAAGCAAATAAACTAAATATTCATAATTGTACTCAGCTGAGTAGTGATATGCCACAAAATATTCAAGATGGTGTATCAACCGTCGCAGCCATAATTGACTAATTATAAGATTTTGACACTACTTAACAGAACATGACATGGTTACATGACATAGCACGACATGAATTAAAATGACTGCACTTGAAATTCCCTTACGAAAGCGAGTCATAACTCAAAATAACGTCATAGAAGGTGACTGGATTTGTCATAGCATTACGCAATCAAAAAGAAGTCTCTATAATTTCATGTTAGTAACAATAATCATTTCGAATCTATCTGCATTGCCAAGAATAGCAATTTTAATAAAACACATGGAATTCAAATGCAGCAAGATTCATCACACCAGGTACTGTGTTTGGTATTCTTCAGTGTTCTTCAATTCCATTAATGCGTCGGCCAGCTGTTGAGCCAGGGACTGGAACGTTGGCCTTCTCTCCTCTCTGTAAGGACAACAAAAACAAAGTCAACTTGCTTGTAACACCGGCCAATCAGGACAAAGGAAAATATCCAGGTAGCCAATAACAACTCCACGTAAAAAGAGCAAACGCTCTGAAGCGCGCGAAAACGCGGGTGACCAAGTAGTGATTTGTTTCATTTTTAATTGTGATTGGTTGAGAAGGTGGCGTGAGTTTGGTCGACCAATCACAGAGCAAAGTGAAGCAAAACAAATAAAATTCCTAATGACTTTCGACGCTCAACTAAAAAGTGCTCCTATCTCATCAAACGTATCTGGAGGAGCTATAGTTCGTCAAAGTTTGTGCATCGTGAAAAACTCAAGTCAAGTTCATCAATAGCAGGCACATGCTAAAAGGAAAAAAGGTTAGAAGGCGAACCATTAAATAATTTTCAGAAAGTCTACCTGTACTCCCAACAACTTCTCATCACTTCATACACGTTTGGTGGCACATTTTCTGGACATTGTAGTCTGTAACCAGCTTCTATCTTCTCCAAAATTACCTGTCCGTTGAGTCCCTGGGAAAAGAGAAATTTTTAACGTCAAAACACGAACTAAAGTATAACGACCTTCACACGGAAGGGGATTATTCTTGCGCTTAATACAGAGGTAGATCTCATGGAAATTTATTAAGCACTACGTCTACCTGCGACAAATCCACTTTCAGGGCTGCCCTCCTCTTAACGATCATACGAAAAGTAAACTGAGTTGAAAAAATTGCGTCACACAAGTGCGTGACCAGATGTTAAGAAAGTAACCTAACCTGTGTGACCTGTGAATTTGCTACTTTACCTCATATGGTTTCTTCCCATACGATGTGGCCTCCCATAGCGTGACACCGTAACTCCACACATCACTTTTGCTGCTAAACTTCCGGTAGTAAATACACTCTGGAGCATACCACTTTAGAGGCCATTTTCCCGGTTTACCAGCCTACACAATATTAGAGAACAGATTACATATTACCACGTACACTAAGAAATTTTCGTATGGAGCAATTTTCGATTGAGTATCAAAAGTAGTGCGGGACTGCATTGCTTTTGCTTTACTTTGCTCTGTGATTGGTCCACAAAATTCGCGCCACTCTCTAAACCAATCAGATGAAAAATTAACACCAATCGCCACTTGGCCGCCCGCGTTTTCCCGCGCTTTGAGCGGTTTACTTTTAGTTCTCTTGGTTCTTCAGGAAATTTTCCTTTCTTCTGATAAGCTGTTGCAATTGCTTTGGTTTTGGTTTAGCGACCCTCAATCGAAAAGCGCTTTAAACGTAATCCGTCGTTGCTTTGGTTTTTCTTTCTCCACATTGATTGAATAAGAAAAACTCGCGCTACCCTCTCAACCAACCAGGTACAATGTACAAAATCAAAAGCATTAGCGACTCACTCGCGTTTTCTCACGCTTCTGGCAGTTTGCTTGTTTTTACTATGAGTTTTCATTTGCTCTTTCCATAAATTTTTTTCTTCGCCCTGATTAACTGCAATGACCACTCTATCTCTGTTTTATTACACTGTAGGAACACCAACCTTATAATAATCACTTCCCGCTCCCATTGCACGAGACATTCCGAAGTCACTGATCTTGACGAAGTCTTCATTAACAACTAAAATATTTCTGGCAGCGAGGTCTCTGTGCACAAACTGCATGTTTTCGAGATACTGCATTCCCTGTGAACAGAAGTCAAATCGATGAGAATAATAATACTTGCTAATCACTTCTGAACCAGCCAATCAGAGCGCGAAAAGCACTATGAACCTGTGTGGCATATACTAATATCTCTTCAGACTACTAATCTATTGAATTCTTATCAGAAAGGCTGCAATTTGATTGGCTATGCTACTCGCTGTCTATTCAACAATTATTCAGTGTCGCCGTGAGTCTGACCGGTCGTAGATCATGTTCATGTAAAACTAAAACAAGAATCTCTCACTCGCACTTCAGACATTTTTTTGTATTATTTTATAAGCTCTCATTGGCTGATTATGATATCTTGTTGTCATCTGATTGGCTGTTGCGATTACATGACACTCAATCGAAAAGCACTTCTAGAACTTACTAACCTCGGCAACTTGCAACATTATAATAAAAATTTTGAACATCGGCAAAGACCTGCAAAAATGGACAGAGTGATCACTATAATGAAGTGGAAACTAGAGAAACGGAGAGCACTGAAAACAGATTGCACTCCTTTGATAACATCATTTCCTTACCATCATTAAATTTGTTTTGAAATATCTCTAGCTCTAACAAGAAGTAATTGTTTCAGTCACTCTCTTGCCTAGCGACTCCTAAGAAAGTCATTTACTATCCGACTTATTCAACTCCAAGATCTCATTAGAAATTCTCTTTACTGCCTGCCACACAATTCTTATGAAGTTAGTTGTGAGAATTTAGGATTGGATCAACTAATAATCCCCTAGTTGATATTTTTCTTTATTCTCATCACTTGTCTGCTTTGTCACTCATGGGAGTTAAATGGTTAAGCTGACAGACTGAGGTCATTCAGTCCAGTGGTTGAGGTAAGGCACAAGTAATCTAAATCTAGAACTGTTTATTATAATAAGCTTACTTGTGTTTTTTGAGATATTTGTGTAAGGGACCTTCAGGAGCAAGTTCCATCACTAGCATAACTGTTGTGTCTTTACAAATACCTGTTAAGAGAATTGAAGAAATTGAAAAGCTCCACTACAGAATGCAAATTTGATAAAAAAAAAAAAAATGTTTGAAAGTTTTCATTTAAAATGAAAACTTTCAAACATTTTGCCCTATAAATTACAGGCTTTTTTCAATTTTTCGATCCTTGGCCATCATTTCTCATGCTGCTTTTACATTGCATCAAAATTTTCTATGTTGTGGTTTATCTGTCTCATCAAAAAAGTAATTTGCCAATGCTTTTTAAACTGAAGATACAGCAGTGTAGCTCATCAAGCAGAGAGCAATATCTATTCTTAGGAAGTCAACCTTTGCTATAGTAAACTATAATTGCTATAGTATGACTTCCATGCTATAGTATGACTTTCATATATTCTTAACCGCCTGTAAAAGCATATGGTTAGGTTTCCAAAGAAACTGTGGTGCTGCATTGGTATGGAGTATTATAACATAATCTGGTTTAATCAAGGGAGTAGAAGGCTCTGAAGGTTTTTCTCCTGGTTCTCTGGTTTGCCTCCTTCCACAAAAAACCAACATTCTCAATTCCAATTTGACCGGGAAACAATGGGCAAGAAGAGCCACATCTGGCATTTCCACTGATAAATTCCATTCAATTTATTGTTTCTTATTATTATTATTATTATCTATTCGTTTTTTTATTTCTAATCAACTGAGTTGATTACATAAATTGGCAACCATAAGAGTTTTTAAAACTGATGTGCTTCAAGCATTGGCCCTGCGTCAGATTGAAAATAAAAATGTCCCTCAGTGACTCTGTACTTACCTATTATTCTAACAATATTTGGGTGATCCAACTTCATCATGACTTCTGCTTCATGCATAATTTCAGACTGAAAAAAATATGAAGAAGACCCTCAAAATTGGTTGATAATGTGTTGAATTAAGAATATCTCATGCTGTAGATTGAATCAGATCATTGTGAAGATAGCTGTAAAAAGCCTTGAAACAAAATGTAACCATCATGGAAGTTAAACACTGTCAGAGTGTGAAACTTTTTAAAACAAAAAAATTAATTCTGATAACTCGAAAATTAACAGTTGTGTGACAGTCTGTAAGAAGAACTTCAAGCCAGATCTTTGTAGTAAAAGGGCAACATACAAACTCCAACATTATGATGATTCCTCGAGTTAGTTTTCATGATTATTTTGACATATACAGACTTACTTGTGGATTATTCATTTCTTCAGATTTAAGTTTCTTAACAGCCACTGGAATCTTCTCCCCATTTGGCTTTGTGTACTCTCCCTTAAGAACTGAGCCAAAATTTCCGTGGCCTATAATAGAGTGTATTTTGATTGAGTGTTGAAAAACCAAAACCTGTGAGTAATCACAATGAACAAACAAGTACTTGATTGAAAATTGCCCCAGACAAAATTGTTCTTTCAATATTTTACTGTTCAAAAATAAAATATTATGTGGGACTCTATGGAGAAATGGTTGGCACAGTTAATGCATGTTTAATTTTGGAACAACTGGTCAATGTTCACTTTACTTTTAGAGTAGAACAGGATTATGGAGTAACAGAGCCTGGGGGAACTGGTGATTAACATGCAACTTCTCTCTGTACAATATCCATACATGAGATTGCAAACAGGTAATGTGAATAATAAGCAATTATTGGATGATGTTGAGCATGATATCAGGTTTTATCAATGCTGAGTTCCAAGCTACCTGCCAAAGCCAAGGGCTAAGGTGGATAACAGACATGAAGTTTGATAATTCATGAAGTCATGCCAAAGCCAAATTCAATAAAATTCAATAAATTAAAGAAGACACTTATCTCTGAGTTGGCAGAGTTTTCATAGCAAATCTAATGTATAATATTCATACCTATCAGGAAGAAGTTGTGATCTTGATCTGCATGCAACACCACATTCTCATAACTAATTTACAAGAAAATGTGTGGCAGCTAGAGGGGAGAATTAGCAAATAGACCTTGGGAGTACAAGGGTTAACCCACCTAGTTCTCTTTCAAGTCTCAAGTTTTCACTCTTGAGCTTTCTTGCTTGCATATCTTTAAACTGATTGAAGTAAAAGGAGCTTTTCTTCATTTTGATGCTGTCATATATCGCCTCAAATGCTGCACCTCCAGAAGCACCTGCTGCTGCTGCTGCTAAAGGATGGATCAAAAATATGTGTTACAGAAAATACACCTGAGGACCCAGCAGACACACGACTCTTTCCAGAAAGGGTAATTTTGTATTATCAATAAGTTTATAAGTTAAATTGGCCACCAAATGAATAAAGAAAGGTAAAGATCTCGAAAAGGTAATCTGGGTATCAGATCATCATGAATTTCATCAACTCAAATAAATGAAACAATTTTAAAAAGTTGTTATGCCTTATCCTTACAGAGATGTTTTCTCAGATTCCCCTGAAATCCTGAGGTCAACTGTGACCTGAAGTCAGTACTGCTTTTTTTCCAACAACCTTTCTTGAAACAGCCATACACATGAACATATAACTTAACTTCCTAATGTCAATTTTTACAGAATTGGAAAGTACACAAATATGAACAAAGCAATCAGCTTCACCCTTGGACATCTACATGTAAGAGTCAGACTAGTATCTAATTTCTCCTTTCAATATCACCCCTGAATCACACATTAAGGTCATGAGAATAAAGGAAATGATCACTCACTGAAGGAACTCTTGATTGTAAAGCATATTCTCCTTAAAAACAACTGAAGAGTGCATGGAGAACAGTATGAAGAATATACATACTGATGTTGGGGTATTGAGGGTTAATGGTGCAATCAGAATTTATTAACAAGGTTTTTGAGAACTACTTTATCACACTTGACTTGAAAATTTTTTTGCCTTGAAAAAGAGTGTAAAATGCTCTAATTAATAAGTAACACATACTTTTTTCATTTTCCATGCACATCAACAGCTCTGAAATATTGTAATTTATTCCTCAAAATTAACCCTTTAATTCCCAGATCAAATTTGTAATTCTCCTTACAGTCAACCATACAATTCTTATAATTATGTTGGTTCAGAGAATTTAGTATTGGATCAATTAATTATCCCCTAGTTGCTATTTTTCTTTATCCTCATCACTTGTCTACTTCATATTGCATCAACTCTGTAAGGAGAAATTCTCTATTGGTCACTCCTGGGAGTTAAATGGTTAAAGTACAATTTCTGCCAACTTCCAACTAACCTGATGGTGTTGGTGACGCTGGCGATTTTCTCTCCTTAAAAAATGGGCTTGGTGGGGGTTGTGCACCTCTTCCTCTTGGGCTGACAGGTAAGGCTGGGGAAGGTCTGGGGGGCAGTCGTGGAGGGCCAGAATTTCTGTTAGATTCTGGAGGAGGGACACTGGGAAGAGGAGGAGGTGGGTTCCTTGGTGGAGATCTGGGAACTGGCAAGGTAGAAAAAAAGGGTCAAGAATGACAATTATAAAGTCAAGTTGTACCTGTTCAGCCAGAGATTAACCTGGTTTCCAGAAGTGATCAGGAGTATTGTAACTTCCCCCATTTTCCTTGGCAGAGAGAGATTCTACAGGAGTAGAATATCTTGCCCAAGAACACAACGCAATGACTCAACCATGTCTTGTTCAACCCAGAGTCTTCAACTGAATTAAACAATTTTGAATGGTTCTTACTTATGATCAATTAGAGAACAGATGCACAGATGATAACCCTTTTCTGAGTTCCAACAGCCTGTTTCTATTGTACCATACCTGTATACTGAACCATCACTGACAGCAGAACCACTTATGAGAAATAGACTAATAATAATCTTTCAAGTAACACCTAATCCATGTTTCTCTCCCAAAATTAAAGTGAGTAGTATTCCCGAGCACAATAAGTGGTCAATTATGGTATGGAGTGCCATTGTTTATTGTTTTTCATAAAACTCCTAATCTGTGGTATCTGTTTTAAGCAGTCATCCCACCATTCCCCTTGGGTGACTGCTTAATACAGGTTTGACTGTATGTGATATTTTTAATCCAAACAAAATTATTGTCTTCTTAATAACTGTCTGTATTTCACTCAAGAGAAAGATGATTTAACATAAATCCAAAAGGTCCATTAGTCTTATTTTAGCACCTTTTAAGGCTGTGGCAATCAAGTTGCAAATTGCAATACTCTGATTGTCATAAAATTTTAATTAATGATCCCATAGAATCACATTAACAGAGCTCCACTGTAAAAACCATATACAACTGCAGGAGTGAGAGTGTGCACAGAATAGAACCTTAACCCTTTGAAACCTAAGAATCACTGGCATCTAATTTCTCCTAATAATATCACGTCTGAATTGAACATTGGAGAGTAAAGGAAAGAATCACCAACTAAAGCAGCTCTTGATTGTTGAACAAATTCTCTTATCAGCACCTTAGGAAATGCATATAGAACAATAAGGAGAATCTGCATGCTAATGTTAGGGTATAGAGGGTTAACTGGCTTTTGATGCAAACTTAATTCTCCCTGCATTTCACAAGGAAATAAAAGAAATTTGAAAAGTGAATCCAGCAGTCTATGCATTTCAATAACTAACCTCCATGCAGAAGGTCTGGGACATTGGTAGTTCTACCCTGAAGAAACGGGTTTCCTGCAAATGGAGAAGAGTCGTTGAATGATCTACTAGGTGGTCTGTTGCCAGTAACTATTCTTGGTTCTGGATCAGAGACACTTGGTGGTCGTGCACCCATGGAAATCCTTCTTCCAGTTTCAAAAAGTTCCATGCTACAGGGCTCGTTTAACTTACAGAGAAGACCATCTTCTCGCTGAGAGTAATGATCCACAGCTAACATCAGGTTGTCAAATTTTGGACCTGATTTTATCGATAATCTTTCTTGCTGGTCAATGTCGAACAAGTAATGGACTACTGAGCCCTCGTAACACAAACCAAGCACATATCCTGGATCCCTTTCACGGATAAGGAACATCCCATTTAGGCATCCTAATGTAGCAAGCCTTCTTTCAGCTTCCTCACGTGAAATTACTCCATGAAACCAGATTTGATTTTTGTGCAAAACTGAACCTATTGCACTCTCCAACTTAGCTCTCATCAAAGTTGCAGTGGTTTCATCTCCATCCTAGAGAACCATGACAAAATCATTTATAACCTGAAACCCTTACTCCCAGCTTGTATTAGCCATTTAGTTAGACACTGTAACAGCTGCGATCCATTTGCTTTTTGATCAGTCAGTCAGTCACCCACTCAGTTATCAAGTCAGTGAGTCAGTGAGTCAGTAAATCAGTCTGTACATCATTCAATCAGTCAGTCAGTCAATCAGTCCATCATTCAATCAGCTGGTAAGTTTACCAGTCAGCCTCTGCCACCCACCCACTCAATAACGGCCAGTCAGTCAATGTGTGACCCACCCACTGACCATTAAAGCCAGTCATTCAGTCCGTCACTCACCCACTCAATAATAGCCAGTCAGTCAGTCTGTCACACATCCACTCAATGATAGCTGGTCAGTCAATGCATGACCTACCCACTCCATTGTAACCAGTCAGTCAGTCTGTCACCCACTCAGTAAGTCAGTCAGTCAGTCAGTCAGTCAGTCTGTAAGCCACCCACTCAATAACAGCTGGTCAGTCAGTCAGTCAGTCAAAATCTCATTCAGACATTCAAATAATTTACTTTTACTAAGAAGCATACTTATATGCATTGACTTATCAAGTAATTCTAGACATTGCATCTTTCTAAATAAATGAATAATTTATCACTGGGTCTAGTATACCTAAAGCCAACATATACCCTTAAGGAATTCCTACAATAAAAATTTTTAGTTGACTTCACTTTGGAAATGTGCATACAAGTATGTACTTGGTTCCAACAAACCTGTATTCCCATTGATGCCATTGCAGCAATAGCCGCATCTTTGATGTGTTCCTGATTAGCACCAGAGTATGTTTTTGGTGGTACCCCTGGAAGCCTATTACATGGTTCAGTCAGCCTTGCTAAAAGCCCATCCAGGCAAGTGCGATGATGATGTATTAGTTCCACAGGTCCTGGGAACTTCTTACCATCTTCTATGGCAACTGTACCATCAGAATGCCGTTGAATATGATAATGAATAATCTTGTTGTTATGGCACATGGAAAGAGCATAGCTTCCTGCTGAAGCAGTACTTTCACGCAACAGATATAACCCATCTTTCTTGCCATTACGTGCCAGAATCTCTTCTGCTTCTATACGAGTTATACGACCATGAAACCAGTGCTGAAACAGTGGATCAGCCATTTCTGAGTTGGTTTTCTCATCTGCCTACTTTAAAGATCCTGCAAATAATGTAGGAAAAGTTCCATGGGTTTATTGTGGTCTTGTCATGAAAAACCCATAATTTTTACCCTAGAGAATATAACCCTTTAACCCCTAAGGGAGATAAGCATCTTATTCCTCCCAGAAGCATTACCCTTGAGTTGAGCATTAAGGTTATGGGAATAAAGGAAATGATCACATGCTCAAGAAGCTCTTGATTGCCAGACAAATATCCTTGTTAGTACTAAAGGAGGTGTATAGAAGACAGTATGGAGAACTTGCACATTGATCAGTGTTGAGGTCTAAAGGGTTGAAGCATACATTTACACTGTGACTATCCCCATAAGTGGCCACAATCAGCAAATCTAGGATAACATTTATCTAAATGTTAACTGACTCAGTTTTGGTGGCTTCTGTCACCTTTTTGCAGTAAAGTGCAAGTCAGCGTTCATTCTTCAGCAATGTTTGTTCAATCTATACTGCTTCAGAGTAATGACATTGCCTGAAGCCTGCTGAAAGCTGAAATGTGAAACCTTAAATATAACAGAAGGTGGTGGTAAACTGATGACTAAATGTAGTTTTAAATACTTCACTTCACGTGTTTACATGTTTCTGTTTTTTTTTTTTGCTCTGTGTGTATCTTTCGTGATTTCCGCGTTATAAAAAATTAATCTCTATTTTTTCTAAGCATTCTTGAGAAGGAAGTAGGAGTTTGATTTCCGGGAAAATGACTGTGAGTTTACGTTTAAAATGTTTACTAAGTAATCTAGAACAATAATGATCATCCTACTAAAGAATACTTCGTCTTGTGAACCATTCTCTGGACATAGCAAACAATTACGTATTTTGGTTTCTGTTACTTAAATTGGTTCCTTACGAGGACGATTGCTATTTCCCCTATGCATGACTCGAGATAACCCGTGTAAATCGAAGCGATTTTACCGCTGGTTTTAATTCCTGAAGTTGTATTAACTTTATGCCTTGTAGACCCTCAATAAGAGATTTGTGTAAATACGGTAGAAGGTTTTGCTTATTCTTTTCAGACAATCGAAGGCTTGAGCTAGTCGAAAGACACTGAATTTAAATTTTAGCGGAGTATGAAATATCCATATGATTAATTAAGCTACCTGATGAAAATGAAATTACACTCACCAACGACAATTTATATGCTTTCACCGATCCGTAACTAGATTATCCCACCAAAAGCTTGTTTTCAGCCAAAAATGTCAAACCATGTCATCTGATTGCTAAGGAAAGCAGAATTCAATTATTTCGCTTCTCGACAAGTCCGTAACCGAACCCCACTTCCTTCCCAAGGCCTGGATCCTAAGGCTTTCGGTTTTTGATATATCAGCTAATTTCATTGGATATTTTTGTAGGTGTAATTGTTATTTTTTTTCCCACCAATGAAATTATCTATATTATATCCCTTCTGTTGTTCGCTGAATGCAAAGGGCACGAGATTTAAACATGGCCGAGGAGGTGAGTGTTGTTCTTGCTGTGGATAGAAACTTTGACATTTCATCCTAAATGCTCTTTTCCAGTTTGGCTTTTGCTTGCATGGCAGTATTTTACCTAAAAAGATCACCACTGTTAAATTTTGAAGGGAAACGTTTTTAATTTTCAGTTCTAATGTTTTGGTCAGTTTTAAGCTCGCGTTGCAGTCGTGAAGTGGATTTTTTTCCACGAGGCCCTCTTACTTAAGCTTAAGTAATATATGGAGAGCAAAGCTACTGAATGCCCTATCACATCTCATTCAAGAACAAAAGCGGCCATTGTAGTTGCAACTATTTTTAATAAGTATAGGTAATAACATGATTTCGAGTGCAATTTGGTGTAAATAAGCACGACTAAATTTTTCAAAGACAACATAATTGCACGAGCCTGTAAGACAAGTGAATTTATAGTCTTGGAAAAATTTACTAGGGCTTGTTACACTAAGTTGCTCAAAAAATCATGTTATTACTTGTTAATAATGTACATTAAGAAAAGAACATCACAGAAAGTCAAGACAGACCAAATTTTGAAAGCGTTCTTAGTGCCTTTATAGCGCAGCTTGCAGAGCGAAGCCCCATAATTATACAAAATAGTAATAACCCATCAAGCCGAAAAAATTTGGTTGTAAGACCATACAACCGTACAAGGTGCTACTTTTAACATGCGTGGTCAACTGTACTGTGGGCACGCCAACGCCATGGCTTTTTCCAGTAGTCCAGTGGTCAGTGTACTGGGCTCTGAGTCGGATGACCTGGGTTCTAGTCCTGGCTCTGGCAAGGCATTGTGCCCTTGAGACGTGCGGGGAAAAAAAAAATGAGAGCTCCACTTTTAGGCTTGGATAAATCTATATATTATTGGATCAGCTGGTGATACTGTGAGGAGAAATTAGGACCCAATGACTCTCAGGGGTTAAAGAATTAACAACATGGGCTTCTGTAGCTAGTTACTATCTCTTCTATTCTCCTGACCTTAATGTTTGATTCAGGGGTGATACCAAACAGAGAAATTAGAAGCCAGTCACTCTTTGGGGTTTAAGGATTATCAACACTGGTGTCTTTTAGTTAGTGATCATTTTCTTTATTCTCATAACTTTGATGTTTGATTCAGGGGTGAAACTGTACAGAGAAATTAGAAGCCAGTCACACTAAGGAGGTAAAGGGTGAAAGAGGAGTCAGTACAATATATTTTTTTGAAAGAGGAGAGCTTAACACTGTTTTAGAGCTGGCATCTTGACATGTAATTTCTAAGTTCTGTTGTGATTAGTATTGAATGTTTTGTGTGCTTGTAGGTTATTGATCCTGGAATTGAAACTGAATATGAAGCAGTAGAAGAGATTTGTTATTGTAATGGCTTAAAGGGCAGGTGAGGAGCTTATGATTATTCTTTACCTTGGAATTACACCATTTTACCATGAAAAATCTAAATGTCCAATGCTGATGGCTAGATGTATATGTATATGTATAAACTAGATGTCAGTTATACATTTTCATAAAGAAAAACAATGGTTAACTTAGCGAAATGCTAGACAACAGTGCTTGCACATGACAAGTTGTGTCCACTTTCACAGGCATGACATGTTAACTGTCCTTTAACTGTCCTATTACACTGTCCAATTTCAAGCATGAAGCATACACTGTCCTATTAGTTTTCAAATCAGGCTGGTGATGGCCAATCATGTCCAGTTATTTTGTTATGGTTTTGATTATGTATATAATACTGCTGTGTTAGCAGTGTGCCTTTGTTGCTCCTTCCTGATAAACATCCTGCTTAGATGGAGCAAGATGTCAAATATTAATATATATATATATATATATATATATAAATAAATATATTAAAACATAACACCAAATCATATCACAAAAGAAAGAAATGAATATTTATCTGATTATCTACATGTAGTTAATGGCCATAGTGTTCTCCTTAACAGCTCTTAGTTCACCTTATAACCACCTAAAATCAGAATTGGAATTCTTGAAAATTCAACAGATTAAATGACTGCTCTACTGGTTTAAAAATGTATTTTACCCATTTTTGCTTAAAATAAGAAAGAGCACTGTGACCATGTTTTTTTTTTTTAATCGAGGATACACGTCCTTAACATGTCCTTTCTTACTCTCTTTTCAGCAATATGGTGCAATGTGTTTTATGCCGACGCCTGTTTCATTTGGGTGAGGATTAGAGTGTATCAGATATAATTAAACTCACTGGTGTAGGTTGGTCTGCACAGGAAAAACAGGTGAAATTGGACAGGTTGGACCTGAAACAGCAAATTCATCCACAAATTAAGGTTGTTAAGAACCAGTCACATTCAAGCATTTTATTCTTAACATAACTGGAATAATAACTGAATTCACTTTTCTTTTCAGATTGCCTAAAGAATGGAAAACCCAGCACACTTGTGGGTGATGTGTTCTTTGATCTCACCTGTGCATCTTGTTCTACTGATGGCTCAGAGATTTGCACCAGACAACATTTAAGCTGGTAATCCATTCTTCTGTTGTTGAATAATTATCCATAATCCTGGCCCAAACCTTCCCCTTTTTTTCAACCTTACCCAAATTTATTAATCCACATTTCAGCTCCATGACGAATATTTTCCTTTTAATTTCACTCTCACACTCCATTTTACTAACTAAATGCCTAAAACAGGCTAAAATGGACAAAGCATCTTCCTAGAGATGAATTTCAATCAAGCATCATGGTTACCATCCTGAGGATAAGAATATTAGAGTACATTTTTCCTTCCAAGTTACTCTATATTAATTTGGCAAAGTTGTGTATATTTGCATGTAAATTTGTTCAAACTGATTTAATTGTGACTAGAGGAAATCTTGGTCTAACTACACTGTGCCTCCATGACACATATCATGTGGTTTTGTGTTTGGCTATCCAAGGATCAAATCAAATTACACTAAATTAGGATTCAAAGTGTTCAGGTCTGGTTAGGGATGAGTTCTGTTCTTGTCTTAGAATAAGATTTTTGGTGCCATGACTTGTGAATTACCTTTCGCCATCTCTTTAATGAAAAGGCTGCAAGCTGTGTACTTGACGTTGTACAATCTGTACTCTACAAGTAGAGGAAGAAAAGGTTACTTTAGATGGAGGGAAGACATCTGCCACTTCATTGACAAACACTGGCAGCTTTTGTTCCCCAACAAGTGAGTCACAACCTTTGTACAGTCTGTACATCATCATTAGACAGTGTTCACCCTTATTTTAAGCACAACAGGTAAAATGAATTTTTCATACTGGTATCTTAAGAACACTCCTTTTACCTGTTGAATTTTGAAGAATTTAAAGTGTTTTTAGGTGGTTATGAGAGGTACTACAGGCAAACTGAATTTAAGAAGTTACTGCCTGAAAGGGAGAACACTGATGACATAGTCCAATCACTTTTTTTGGAAAGAATCCCCCTTCCATCCCAAAGGGGTTTGGTTTCAACTTTCCCTCCCTCCCCCCTTAAAAATTAACCCACTTCACTGTCATTCATTCCTGTCTAATTCTGGCTTATGGAGATCTTTTCCCCTCTGGAATTTCCACTGAGCCCTGTCAGAAAGGGCTACCTTTCCCTTTTCAGTACTTACCAATTGCCTCCTGGAAGTGTCGAGGCTCGGGGCTAGTGTTGCAAAAGTCTTGGTAAGTTAACCCTTTGATCCCTAAGAGTGACTAGCATCTAATTTCTCCTGACAATATAACCCCTCAATCACAAGTTAAAGACACAGGAATAAAGGAAATGATCACAACCAAAAGACACTCTTGATTGTTAAACAACTTCTCCTTTTCAGCACCTTATGAAATGCATAGAGAACAGTTTGGAGAATAAGTGCGCTGATGCTAGGGTGTGAAGGGTTAACATGCCTCCAGCCACCTTCTTAGATCTTAAACTAGGATGGCTGTGGAATGCATGTAGTAGTGTGGATTATGGCACAGAAACCAGTCTTTTTCATATCCTGATATGAATGCTGTTAGGTCTAGCAAAAAAAAAAAAAAAAACCAAACAAACAAACAAACAACAACTTTTTGGAATCAGCTCCCAGGGAGAAACAAGCCCCTGTTTAAGCCCTTACAGCCTTGACACCAGTCTGGGTCTTAGGTGTAGTGACTACTGTAAGTTGGAAGGTTTGAGAGTAACAAATTTTTTCCTTGTCAGAAAAAAGAAGAACACTTGGAATAGCACAGTTGCTGGCATTTTGTCTTCAGGATGCCCTGAGTATTTCAAGTCAGGACAGAAGGAGTTTAACAAGGAAACTGGATGGTGGGGATTACAAGAGAACATTGCTCCATCAGTTAAATTGACTGGGACAGGTGTGGATCAGGTTTTTTTTATCATACTTGGGGTTTTTAGTAGCTTTTTCCATCAGAATCTGCTGATGGTTTGATAGGTGGCTGTGTTGTAAGGCAAAGTCTACATGGTAAACAATTTGAGAGCCTGCTTGCAAAATAATGTGAACAGTAGTTTAAGTTTTGATGTCTGATCTTTAGATTTCTAAACATTTCTCACTGTTAACATTGACTCATGTTTTAAGTTGAAATGAATTTGAAAGCATTAACTTTTATCTAATTAAAATTCAAAGTAAAAGATGTGCTTGTGTGTTTAAATGTGCTGGTGTCAAATTCATTTGCCCTTGCATTGCATTTAAATTGAGTAGTCTTAATGCTTCTATTCCTCATTATTTTTAGATAAATGAGATTTTAAATATATATTTGATAATTGTAGCTGGTTGATAATTTGTCATAGGGAGTGGTAGTTCACGCAAAAGAAGAGGACGTGCTGGTGTTGCCACAGGGTTTGGTGCAAAGAACAGGGAATCTCAGTTAACTACTGAAAAGTCCCCAAGGATTCCAGTACAGCCTTTGTGTGCTGACGAAAATGTCATTGAGGTATGTAGAGTGAAGCAGATCAGTTCAATCAAGAAGATGATTTTCCTTATGAAATTGAATAACTGCTATATGGTGAACTGTTACTGATGATGTATACTTTAACCCTTCACACCATAACATCAGTATCCATCTTCTCCTTACTCTTCTCCATACATTTCTTTTGGCACTGATGAGGAGAATTCGTTTAATGATCAAAGCTTCTTTGATTGGCCATCATTACCTTTATTCTCGTGATTTTAATGAATGATTCAGTATTATTAATGTCAGGAGAAACTAGATGCTGGTCACTCATAGAGTTTAAAGGATTAATAGGATATTTTTGTTATTTATTTTGGTTATCAGTACATCAGTGCCTGAAACACCCATCCCCCTGTGAGGAATAGTTGTCCTTGTTTGATGAGTGGTTGTGTTATCTTTGAGGGAGACAGTCATTCACAATTCATTCTTTTAGCTTTCAGTTTCTGAGCATAAAAGTCCATGTGATGATCTTATGGCCCAGTTATTATCGGAGGAGGATATGCGGGAACTTGCAGAACCTACACCAGGTGTGTTAACCATAAAGCATTAAGGGGGTAAGTTTCTAAAGAAACTGTGGTGCTACGTCGTTGGTAGAGTATATTAGGGTAATTTAGTATTATCAACTGAGTTGATAACGTAAATTGGCCACCGTAAAGAGTTTTAACGCTGATGTTTCGAGCGTTGGCCCTTCGTCATTGCGAAAGGCTGACGCTCTGACGAAGGAACTCTTTACGGTGGCCAATTTACGTTATGAACTCATTTGATAATACCAAATTACTGTGTTAACCATTATGATAGTTTCACAACTTAAAACAACCAGACTGGACCAGGTCATTGTCAAAGAAAAACTCGATAAACTTTATAAAAAAATAGGCGAATCACATATAAAACTAGTAAAAATATATCACCTTTCTGGAAGTCTTTTTGTCGTTCAGTTTGTAAGAGCTAATGAGAACTTAAAGTGAAGACAATTAAAGCTGCCTAAAAAGCGGGAAAACGGGGACGAACAAGTCGTGATTGGTTGCATGTAGTTGTGTATCTGATTGGTAGAGAGAGTGACGCAAGTTTTCTGGACCAATCACAGAGCAAGGTTAAGCAAAACCAAAACAATACCGGATTACTTTCGATACTCAATTGAAAATTGTTCCATCGTAACGATTTAGTTCTAACTTTCTTTTGTTGCATTTTAGAGATGGACGCGTTCACAAGTTTGTTCACGGCTGGTTACGAAGACATGGACGACACTTCTTCACTTTTCACTGGTGAAGAGGAAAAATCAGGTTTGCTTGTCTTCCTATTTTAATATATCAACTGAGAGTTGCTTCAGCTACTTTTGGAGTGGTAAAAAAACAAACAAACGTTTATTATCCTTCTGCTCAAGTTAACTTCAATTGGCAAAAATATTACAACGAGTGGCAAAAGCCTTGGCAAGCTACACTACGTTTTGAATTCTCATTTATCTCCAACTCACTCCCATTTCAATGATGCATGGTGTTGACAAAATGATCACTAGTTTCTTGCAACATTGTTTGGGAGGAAAGGGGGACTTTCAAGTAACTTACAAGATTTCTGTTTACTATGTCGAATGGAGGGTTGCCGACCACTTACCAAAGGGAGGCGCGCCAACTGCTTTTGCCACTCATCGTAGTCCAACCATTAGTATTAATTAGTGTAGGTATTATCAAAGAGATTGATAAAATAATCGAGCTTGATCACCACAGCCAATCACAACAAAGCTCCACACCACGAAGAGCCAATAAGAGCTCATCACAACTTTGAGCGCGGGAAAACGCGCACAACCAAGTAGCAGCTAATTGCAGTTTTTTAACTGATGTATGCAGTGTGGTGCGAGATTTTTGGTGCCAATTACAAAGTTCTGTTGAGAAAATCAATGCATTCATTACTGAATTGAAAGCTACTTTATTTGTTTTCCTTGCCCAGAATTAGACTTCCTTGATGAGAGAACTGACAGACAGGAGGATACGGAATCTTTGTCTTCAACTGCTACTTCAGAGAAGTCATGTAAGCACCCGCAATCTGACTCGGTTCAGAGTGAGGCCAAAGGCAAACCTGTTGCAAACAACCTTACAAGTCTTCCTCAGACAATTGATAGTCTGGTTCCCGTGTCAGAAGAGAGAGAAAAGGAATTGCTGCTCAAGATCAACTCTTATCCCAAAGCAGTTTATCATGATCCCGTGGCGAGGAGATTTAGACGAAAATTAATATTGAGACAGGTTCGTTTATTTCAGTATCCACTTTAAAAAAGCCGGAAAGAGAGGCTGCAGGAGGCGTATCGAGATATCTCACGAATAACGTTATGCAATTATGTTTTTAACAAGCATCGATGTAAGGCATATGACTAGACGTTGTATTCTTCTCAGATGAGGATTATAAAACGTGGGCACCGTTTCCTGCATCCTCTCCGTACTGGTTAGCAGGGAACGTTTAAGAATTCACGCTCTTCTCGCAGACAGTAGGGAATGTAGCTCCTGACGCTGTAGCTGGACCTCGTTTCTAAAAGATTCCTAAATTGGGGGCACTTGCGAAATGTTTTACTGAAACTTAAAACTTCTCAATTCAGTCTGGCCAAAGTCTCCCACAAAGTGTCGTAAGCCACGTTATAGCATGGAAAATTCACTATACAAGTGTATCTTTATCATTTTCAGCGTTTCTGATATTTCTCATGTTTAATTATTTTTTTCGATTAGTGTTTGATTGTCTTTTATACCATTATTTTTTTTGGCCTCACGCAGATTAAAAGATCCAAGGGTTTGAAATTGTTCGATCTGGACAAGACAGTTTCAGATGCTGTGACGTCAACCTTAAGATATCAGCTGACCAGTGATGGTTTTTTCCCGATTGAGGTAAAAATTGAAAGCTTTTAATAACAGATCCTCTAAAACCTGTTCCCCAGCTGTTAGTTGTAACTGAACAGAACGCCTGACTTACAGTTAACAGAGTATTCTTTTTCTTTTTCTTTGACTTGCAGAATCGCGACATTGTGCCATCAGTTACTGAAGATAACTCGCAAAGAAAGCTTTACAAACAGGTTGTGAAACAATTTCATTTTTTAAAGTGACATTTACGTTGAAAATGGTGTTCTTGTCTTTATCATGGACATACAAACTTACCAGAACTCATTATTTGCTTTGAAATTTTTCCCTTGCAGAGAATTCTAAAGAAGTCTAATTCTTCTTCCTTTGGCACGACGGAAAATGTCCTTGATAGATTTTTGGTAAGAAATATCTTACAATACATATTTTAGTTTTTTGTTTTCTCTGATATCCTGAGAATAACCTCGTCTGACCATATATTTATGTTGAGCTGAATTATACTCGTATTGTGAATGGTTCTTATGATCTATTGGAGAACGGATACATAGATGATGTTTGCTTTTTAATCATAAAAATTACAATTTACTCGATTGTGATTGGTTTAAAAAACTCCTATTTTCCACTAATTCACTTGCCAAGTTGTTATCGGACAGTTTGTTATCGGACAGTTTGTTATCGGACAGTTCAGTAAGTTAGTCACATTTAAAGTTTTGAAGAAGCTCTTGATAGTCAATCAAATTCTCCTTATCAGCACCTTAGGAAATGTATAGAAAACAGTATGGAGAAGATGCATTCTGATGTTAGGGTGTAAAGGGTTAAAGGAAAATAGATGAGCATGTTTTTTATTTTGATCAACTTTAGCAATTCATGTTATGTTACATTTGCAGGCGGCTCCTCGCATGCTTCCCGGTTCTCGTCCCAGGACTTGCTCGTTCTTAACACGGCTGATTGGCGGTGATTCTCAAACACTGTACAGACCTATTACCAGTCCTTACACGTCCAGAATACTTAAGCCGTTTATCAGACGGGACTATGAAAGCCGGCCGTTGAAATTAAAACTGCTGCAAGAAATAATCGCTTATAGCCATAGGTAAGAGTTGAACCTACAGATTTTGATGGAAAGATAAGATGGCACTTGGCGTTTTCGAATAGATAGTGCCATAGAATGTAGGGTGCTTCTTTATTGAGGTTGCTTGAAAACCAGATTCGAATTTGGAGTGCTTTCAACAGGAAGTCGGAAACAAATCAGAAACAAAATAATCCCAACAGTCAGTCAGGAGGAAAGAAAAAATAGCCAGGAGCCATCAATTTGGCGACTTTTGTGGGACTGACGGCTTTAGTCTTTTTCTTAGAATCGCGGGATCAATGGCTTCTGATACAATCACAATATATTTTAGGGACAGCACCATATTTCCTCGATCCTCGAATAAGCGAACCCCCCTCGAATAAACGCCCACCTCCTAGGCCGTAATATCAAACAATCCCCCCCCTCCAACAAGTGGGGCCCCCCCCCTTCCTCCTTTACTTTCTTAAATAGTAGGGGTACAAGGAAAACCTGTGTCTGTTACCTCTTTATTTATAAATTTTTAGGCTTCAACTGCAACGAAATCATTACAGGTTAACAGCTTATTCGAGGAAATACGATATTTCCACGAATCCACCATAGTGTCACTTTAGCCTACTGAGTAAAGTAAGAATTTTTTGGAGAGAACTCTTCCCTTCATACTTTGTGACGACTCTAACAGTGTGTCTATTCGTTCAGGAATGATCCTGGGTGGAAGCCAACACAAGTTTCTCCCATTGATTACTGCTATGTACAGCCGCACCATATTCCATCCGTGAATGCAATGTGTCGGGAATTTTTCTGGCCAGGAATTGATTGTGAGTTGTTCTCTGTTTAAATCCGTTTTGTGTTGCATGCTGTTTCAAACCAAACTGACATTCTTGAATGTTGTTTTTACTGGTTATGAGCTGCTCCGAACTTTTTGCAAAGGCATATAAAACAATGTTGAGTGACAATTCAAATGATAGTTATAAAATAGGATTTCCATATAGTACTTGTGGTGTCAGCTGAATCTTCTCGAGAAGTTTAACGTATGTGTATGATACTACACTGTAACTCTTGAGTTGAAATTTCTTGTGCACGTATTTTTGTGTTCCTGATTATTATGGTTTACATATCTCGTACTTACGGAGTGCGAGGTCCGTACTTTAAGTTACGGACCGAGTTTTTCCCGCGAAACATAAATCTGACTGGAAAAACGGGGTCAGGTGTTAACTTAAAGTACGGACCGAGAAAACGAGGCTAGTAAGATATTTATTTTATCTCCGGATTCACATAGAGGGGGAGTATTTCAATTGAAACAAACTTTTGAATTTAGCGGGGCGTGCAGTTATGTACGACCCACTAAGTTGATCGATCATAGCGCACTTTCAAACTGAGAGATTTGATAAAAGGCAGTTCTTACTTGTGCGTGAGTGGACGAAGCCATAGTAAGTGGTACATGTGACATGAAAGAATTTTTTATTTGATATTCTAAGTCATTGCCGTGCTTTCAGATATCTTTAAGGTATAGTCATTCATCGAACGTTAACGCTTTCTCCAACACTCTTTACAAGAATAACCAGTGACTTTTTGTAATATTCTGTATTTTTGTTTCTCCTTAGTGTCGGAGTGTCTCCAGTACCCTGATTTCAGTTGTGTAGTTCTTTATAAGTAAGTAGTCCTGAACTAGTTTTTCGCTCGAGTGCCACAATCAATGGGTATCACTTTTTATTTTACCTTGACTCTTTTGCCAGTTGTTCTTGTGGCTTCTCGTTGGTTTAGTGAGATTTAAAATCCCTTTCCTGTTAATCCAATGCAGTATGTGAGTGGTCGATAAATCTGGGTTCAAGTCCTAGCTGGATCACTGTGATGTGTTCTTGCGCTCAAGAGCTCAAAACACTTCCCTCACAACAGTGCCTCTCTCCACACAGGAGTGTAAATGGGTACCAGCAAACTATCACGATCACCTGGCGAGATCCTGGTAGCGGAGGGGGAGGGGAGGGGGATGAGATGAGCCTTTAAGCTCATAAGCTAGTTTTGCCTCACATGTTTATTTACGGTTTTCCACTGTTTCGAGTGTGGTTGTACTCATAATTCACTCAATCACGGGAGAGGGGTAGGGAAAAGGATGATTATATCACGTACCATGTAACAGATACGAGGTATCGGTTACTTAATAAAACAATGTGGTGTGCCTTTTGTGAGCACAGACATGTGCCGACTCTTGTACGTCAAGAACAACCAGACGGGCGGGTATTTCTTCTTTAAACTTTGATTGAAATCTCTCATGTGAGAATTTGAAGCACAGAAAAGTAACGTATTAATGACGTAGAAAAATAGGGGAGGGGGTGTCTTCGTTATTTTTGCGATAGATTGTGATAGGTTGAAGGAAATTCAAGGTGTCAAGGTGTGAGTAATTACGAGTGATAACCGGAACGATGGCGAACAAAATCAACATGAATGTGCGACCATGCGTAAGAAAGGCAAACAAACATACAAACAAACAAACCAAAAGAAAGTGAAAAAGAATAACAGGGTCAAATTTCTCGAATTCATCTAATTAGCTGTTCCCGTTTATTTTAGAAAATTCGTGATTGGTTTTGCGTTTATGGTCCCCGATGTAAACTATAACGAGGCTTACATCTCGTTCGTACTAGTCCATCCCGAGTGGCGCCGTGGAGGGATTGGAACCTATATGATTTATCACTTGATTCAAACGTGTATGGGGAAGGACGTCACACTTCATGTTTCCGTCACAAATCCAGCTATGCTTATGTATCAGAAGTTTGGGTTTAAACCCGAGGAATTAATACAGGAATTTTACAGTAGATATTTGCCTCAGGATAGTCCACAGTGTAGACATGCGTTTTTTCTAAGGTTGAGGAGGTGAACCTTTTCTCAATAGCTTCCTGCTATAAAATATATTCATACTCGAAGGAGAAATTTCTCTTTGGTCACTGTCTCGGTAGACCTTATTTCAAAAGATTTGACAGGGGAGGGGAAGTGAGGGTGTAAATTTCAATCAATGCCAGTCATTGAAATTTTGCTTTTGTATTATAAATATATTATCTGCTTGAGGCATGATGAAACACCTCTCTTTGTTAACTGGCTTAGACCTCTCTCTCTCTCTTTCTCTCTCGCACTTATCAATTACCATCTTCACTTTGATGTATTTTAACGAAATTTCAGGTTTAAAACATTCATTAGATACCCCCAATCATTCAAGAGACATTATGAATGTACGAAACTACTGTACAAGAAAAAGTATGGCCTATGAGATGAATCCAGTGCAGCTAAGAACAGACAACAACCATTTTAGTGGTCTGGGTACCAGTTCTAAATCTTGGACCCCAGATTACCTAGAGTCCTCGGCACGCGGCCTCTACTGGTGATCCTCTACAAAAAAAATCATACGCACATTCACATATTTATTTGCATTACATTGTATTTAAAACCTGTTTATTACAATAGGATTCTAGCATTAAGTATATTTCATATCTTATGAAGTATTTTTACAAGTCCTGGTCGGGTCACTGGGATGTTTTCTGGTGCTTCAGTCACTTTGAATTCGTTCAGAGCGCCTCTCTCGATCCAGGGGTGTAAATGTGTACCAGCAAACTATCACCCGACGAAATGCTTAGAGGGGGGGGGAATATCCCTTCCCAGATTTTCGCGATAATAATTGTGATTCAGGGGTGATATTGTGAGGAAAAATCAGACGTTAGTCACTTTGAGAGTTCAAAGGCATAAGGGCTCTGTCCATACTTCTCAGTGAAGAGGTTTAATATTTCCGTTTATGCGAGTTTTGGGGTGGCTCACAGATCGTTCACACGACTGCTAAACATCAAGAAAGAGATTTATGTTACCTTAAACGTTGTTACTGAAAAAGCAATAGGGAGGCTAATGGATATAATGGTTAAATGGTTAAATAACCGACTGCATAACATATAACATAACACATGGTATACAACCCTCGTTAAAAAGAGATGTTTGGTTGCGTTCCACCTTGCTCAAGGGGTTCTAAATTTCAGAATCCGCTTTACCGCTTGTCGTATGTTAGACTTACGCCAAAAATACATCACAGGGTTGAGGGCAGAATTGAGAAAAACAATTGTACTAGGGACTGCATAATACTTGCCGAAGCTTGTTCGTACGAAAACATCAGCGACAAGTGTTGCAATGTAGGGAAGATAACAAAGAAGGAAAAGACAGTACACATAAAATATGGTCACGGCAGATCTTCTGAGCTGTTTGAAGCGCATCCCTTGGCCTGCATTGGCCGACATAACTTGCATCTGGGAGTGAATTTGTCCCCGATGTCGAATAACTACTCTATAAACCTCAAAATACGCAAAGAAATTGGCAACAAGACAAGACACTATGATAAGACCAAAGAATGGATACAAAGCATGCGCCTTCAACAGTTTCGCACTGGAGGAGAAACCAGACACCGTCCACATCACAGCAATTGCAAGAGCTGTTTTGTTCATGGTGACAAGACTGTTGTACCGTAGGTGAAATTTTAGAGCAATCATCCTATCCAGGCTGATGGCTGTGACGGTGAGGAAGGACACACCACAGAGACAGAGGCCTGCAATGTCTTTTGTCTTAGAGACGGAAGATAATATATCATCGTTAACAACCAACCTCTTTAAGGTGCTGAGGATAAACAGAGGTTGGATCAGTAACCCAACTGCTAAGTCCGAGACAGCGAGGTTGCACATTAGCATGTTGCCAGGAGTGTGTAAAGAGCTTGTTTTCCAGATGGCGACTAAAACCACGCTATTTGTAACAATTATGAAAGGGCTGGTAGAAACGTTTAGTATCACTAGTGCAATGTCCAAGGCGGAAATACTGTCGTCACTCGTTCTGTCCGTAGAATCGGGCTTTGAGGTTGTATTCATGTCCATAATATTCTTTTCCTCTCACTTTTAAAGAAGCGAAACTCGAGCGCTTAACGTTGCGAAAGTCACTTTAGTAATGCGACTGAAGACTTCGGACCAAGCACTTTAAAGTGTTTTCTATCAAATTGATGCTGGATATCAATCAAGAGATTGATATTGTTGTTCTCTTTGCAATCAGTTTTAGTTAAACCGGAGATCCTCCGGTGGGTTAATTGAAATTGCGATTGGGTCTGCTACAATAACATGTGGTTATATCACGATCTCCCGCGGTTACTCTGGACAACGGACTGTGCGTAGAGGATCTGCTAGGGTGAGATAGATTATTTTAGATCAGCTTTATTACAAGGGAGGGGATTTCTTGAGTAAATATCAGAAAGATGTCTTTCTGATGTTAAAGTAAGGAGAAGTGTATGAACAACTGAATCCCTAGTTTAGAGTCTTTCACAGGTCCCATGCAGTCACGCTGAAATTTAACCATCTAACAACGGTTGTAAAAATCTGCAAAATAAGTAACATGCAGATATGAATTTTGGCTTAGTTTCTCTCCCACCCTCTCCTCTTTGCATAGAAAAGCCTATTGACTATCAACAATTCGCCGCATGGACCGAAATAATTTGTTGTGAGTATCACTGAGAACTGAACTAGTACCGAATAAAGGGATTAAGCTTTAAAAGAAACTGTAATGCTACGTCTGTGGGGGATATTACAAGGTTATTACATTGGTTTTAACAAACTGAGTTGATGTAAAATTCGCCACCGTAAAGCCGGAGTTCCTAATGCTGACATTTCAAGCGTTGTGCCTTCTTCAGAGCGAATTTACTTATTCTATCGTGAGAAGCACTGTGAATAAGGTTTTGCGTTGAACAACAGTTAGATTTTAGTCCTACGAATTATTTACTGAATCGAAACGCAATCAGAAACCCAAGTAATTAAAGTTCCTACAGAGGATAGTAATTGGTTCTCATCTTTCATAGCTTGTCACAAAGTTTATAAAGGTTACCGTAATTGGACCAATGCTAAGTTAAATTAAATAAGATTTTTATTCTTTAGAATATGAAAGGAAAGTCGTAGTTGTTCTCAAAGGTGGTATCGATTTCATGACACCTGCCTTTTCTGTTGTTAGGGCAAATCGAAACAAGAGTTGTATACGTTAATGGATTCTTTGTGGTATGTCGAACTGCAATCAGTGAGAACCAGTCAGAACCCCTCCCCTCTTGAAGAAAGGTTTTAATGCTATCCTTGAGTCTTAGCATTTAAAGTTCCAGCTTAAACAGAAACTTGCTTAATCCAAACAAAATTGGTTATTTTGAATGTTGGGAGATGAGTTAATTGCAATTAGAGGACTAGCGTTGCATAAACTAAGGTCAAACCAGGCTAAAACCGATTATCAGTTAAAATTTATATTATAATTATATATTTATTGTCTTGACTCGTCGCAATTACATGGGCAAAACGAAAAATATTTTCAAACTTATTATTTACATAACGAGGATGATAAGGTAAAAATAATCGTAATAATGAAAAAGGGCATTTTCCTAAGTAAACTTAAAGGGCATTTAAACGGACAAACTTAAAATCGCTTAAATGATTCCCATATCAACTAAGTATCTAAACAAATCGCTGAATCAACAGATATTATATTAGGGTCACGCTTTTTTCCTATCCTCTACAGCCAAACTCACTTTGCACTACACCTTAGTTCATCCTTATATCGAGTATTGTCACTTACCCATTTACACCCTAACATCAGCAGGCATATTCTCCATACTGTTCTTTATATATTTCCTTAGGCAATGACAAGGAGAATTTGTCTAACTATCAAGAGATTCTTTAGTTGGTGATCATTTCCTTTATTCTCATGACCTTACTGTTTGATTCAGGGGTGATATTGTAAGGAGAAATTAGAACCTGGTCACTCTTAGGGGTCAAAGGGTTAAATATAATTTATTATTTGCAAAAGCGAGCTGTGCGGCATATCACTAACTCAAACTACCAGAGCCCATTCCGCTCCTTTATTCTCCAAACTAGGAATTTTAGATATTTTTGAAGTCATTAGATTTGAAATCCTCAAATTCATGTTTTATGATAAAAATCTATCGCCCCCATTGCTTTTCAATCTTTTTGTAACAATAGCCAAATTCACTGCTATGGTACAAGAACAGCTAGTAATTATCGAACGCTTGTGTATTGTACAAATTTTAAGCAATTTACAATTCTCTACGAAGGTCCAGAAATTTGGCACTCCCTTCCTGTTTCGGTCTCTCGTTCGTCAAATCTTCTCAGCTTTAAGACGAAAATACAAGATTTTTAACTTAAATAATCACTGAATTGGCCAATCCGCCAATTCGCAGCAATTATTCTTTTTTAAGTACATTGTTGTAAGTCTGGTGGCTTCCTGGGTCTCCTCGCCTTCTATAAATCTCGGTAAATTTTTAATATAATTAAAAGGCAAATAAAAAATGATGATAAAAGTGATGGAATAATAATATTGAAAATATTAATGATAATAATAATAATAATAATAACATTGCGATGATAGATATGATAATAAACGATATATTCTGCCAGCTAGCTCATTGATGAATACAATGATGATTTTCCTCTGGTAACATAGCAGGAAAATATGCATGGTACTAGAATTGATTAATATGACCTTGTGTCCTGAAAAAATTTGTCAAAGAAGCATTAAGAATATGCCACCCTGAAAATTGTCAAATTTCGACTGAGCAAGAGCCGTACAACAACGAGATGTTATCGTAAATTGTTCAAAGAAGGATCGGTATCCCGTTGACTTGAAAGATAGAAATTTATAATGTATCATTATTAATTTGTTAACTTTAGGGCTATCACGTGTTATCACAATTTTTTAAATAAAATTATGGGAACGTCTGTTGGGAAATCTTCGCCAAATCTTTTCCGGAAAACTCGGAACTTCATTATTTTCTTTGCGTCCACATCGTTGTCCTCGGTGACTCGAAAGTGGTGACCACAAAGCATTCCCAATTTATTTGACTGTGGGCCGCTGTTTTCTGGTCTGTTTAAACAACGAAGGACCAACACCTCGTTGTAAATTGAAGTGCAACTCGGGTCCCGCCTGTTTTGGTTTCCCTTCTTAATCTCACCTTTGGACGCTTCACCGCCTCCATTATCGTCATGTGCTTGAAACTGTACTGATCCGTTGCCAGTTAGTTGTTCTTCAGATGCAACTGCGTTTTTTTCTTCATCCACAACGTCTAAATTGTCCTGTGAGGCTGAAAACAGATCAACACGAGGGCTTACTTCTGGTAGAGTAGGAGATACTTGGCAGGCATGTTCATCTTCAGATTCGCCACACTCTTTCTCGTTAAGCCCAGATTTTAACCTTTCAGCCATTTTCACATTCGACTTTTGAGTAAAATATGTAAAAAATCTCCCCTAGACGAAGCTTTTTGTATAGTTTCCAAAAAAATAAAAATCATCTCATGCGGGGGTGGCCTTAGGAACGAAATGATCCACCCTTCTTACTTCCTGTCATAAAGCAAATGTTGTTCTAAAGCAGGGTTCCGCCCAGAGTGATAACATATATTTCTTTAGGGATAACTGCTAGTTTTTTATTCCTCCCTTTTCCTTGGTTGGTGGAAACGTGTAAATTATCATGGGGACTCAGAATTTCTTCCTCACAGGGACTCGGAAGTTTTTCGTTGTCCCACGCTGGAGACAAGAAGAAAAACATCTTTCTCAATATGTAAATTATGTTGTGAAATTTTCCTTACGCTTTGCCCCTTTTCATTTTTTTTTCTGTCGTGTGGGAATTCATTAACGTTAATGCCCAGCCCCTCCTACTTCTCTTGACGTGGTAAGAACCTGATTTCCGCTCAGTGATCTCACGCAGTCACGACGAGCTGGCTGATTCTGGTAAAATACGTGAGCATTTATGTAGAATGTGAGCGTTTTAACACAACCGATAAGTTTGAAAGTATTCAAAAGAGGTTTTCAAAAAGAAAAAGAAAACCAGGAAGGAACTCAGAGGCCAAAGTGAAATCTGTTTCGTGCAATGAAGATTATCCACATGCTCCTTACGCCCACACTTTTCCTTCAGTTGTCATGGAGACAAAGTAAACTAGGTCACTTTTCCATTTAAGCGAAAAAAACGTGTTTTATGTTTATTTGGCAACAAAAACGTGTGCACTGATCCACGTGTCCAAAGGGTTAAAATGTAGACCACTAAATGAGGGTCTTCACAAACTGTCAGCCGTAAAACGAAATAAAAATTGGAAACATTTATACTGTTAGTGAAAGTGTCAAAATCTTAAACTGGTATATACCTCATCTTGTGGCCATTGTGGGAAAACAGAAAAATGGTGTATATTAACTCAGTAGCTACTAGACCTGGAATTACCCTTGTTGCTTGACTCTTACGGTAAAAGCGAGCGAGTAAATATGTTTTAGAACAATTTAAATTAATCGGTAACTGTTAAAAATGATTGAAAGTAGTTTTTAACATCTCTGTTAACCGGAACCGAAAAAACCTAGCCTTTAAAATTGATTAAAAGTCCAACGAGCGTCTAACGGGAGTTCGAATGTAAATCACAAATATTGCGCTCCTGTTAGTTCAGTTTCCGTTCTTTTTTTTATGCATTTTGAATTCCAAAATTTTCGGGAATTTGGTTGGTACCAATATGTGATCACTCTGGAAGACGCAGTGACATTGAAACAGAATGAGAAAAAGATGTGATTTACGGCAAGAAATGGTGCGCTTCTTGGTTAAAATCACACCGCTGAAGGAAAATTCAATAGCAAACCTCACCAGTGATCTTAAAAAGGATGCGATAAATTATCAAACAGGAATCAAATTAAACATCTCTACTATTCGTCAAATTTTTAGCTCGATAATTGGAAACACGATGAAACCGGAATTGTAATAGAAATGAAACAACAGGCATTTAATGATCGTCTAGTGTAGTTTATACCATTGTTTCATTTTCATTGATTTATGTTCGTTTTTTCGGAAAGGCTACGCAGGGTACCATTAGAATTATGGCTATTATTAATACTATGGTGTTTCAAAGTGTGACAAACCTACCATGTGAGGCCTTGCAAGAGCTGCCACCCGGCTCAGTAAACACAATGTTTTACCCCGTTTTATTTATCAATAGAGTTCTGTCACTGTATTTCAAGAACGTTTCCCTTAATATTTCGTAATTTGTAATCCTTGGCAATCAACGCCCTCTCTAGACATTCTTGTTCTTATTTTTGCTCTCTCCTCATAGCTTTTTTTTCTTTCCAGGAAAACTATTTTTACAATTTATTTTTTATATATGCCATAGAGTATGCTAAGTCGCTTAAATGATATTCCATGCTGCGCGTACCCTAAACAACAGTGGAACACCCAAGTTAAATAAAGACATCTATATTGAACAAAGAAAGGTAGAGGAGAGTGAATGGGTTTCAGGCTTAAACAGATATTGTTATCCTCGCTTTGTTTCTTATACAACAACTGCAAATTAAGTCACATTTTCCTTTGAGAAAATCAGGCCTTTTCCTGAGGAACGCTTGCAGGTCGAGCTTCGGACGGGATCTTTTATAATCATTGAAAATCCATGCATGGAACAACTCACACAAAAATATTGTCGAATATGGGTTTTATTATCAAGACTTTACCTTGGTTACATTCAAGATGTAAACAGTACTAGTAAAGATATAACCCCAAAAATGTTTAAAGCTTTTGCACTACAGCCTTAGCTACTGAAGCAAAGCAGATTACATCATAATCAAAAATAGTCATGAATACAAGATACAACAATAAATTCTAACATATTATTGGGTAAATAAGACTGAGGCTTGTTCTAAAACATCAGTTCAATTAGCTTCTAAACATTTCCAACGAGATGAGTTACAATGTTGATGCTCATCGGTTATTGTGACGGCGGAGCAGTAATTTTTACTTCTAAGCGAAGAACATTTGCCGGTCTTCTTTGTGATTTTTTTCCTCTTGTTTTTCGCCTTTTTCGTCGTCTCCCTTTTCTTCTTCTTTTTCATTGTCTTCCTCGTTCATATCGTCTTCCTCATCTTCAAATTCTCCTCCTCCTGAGTGTTCGTTTCTCGCTTCACCTGTTTACAAGGGAGAAAACAGTTTCACATATACCCTTTTACTTCCAAGATTTCATTTGTAGTTCTTCTTACTGTTCGCCATACTATTCTAGTGATGTTAGTTTGATGTTAACTTAGTGAGCCTCATCAAGTCATAGTTATTGTGGTATCTATCATATCACAATAAAAAATAAACAGCAATCAAACATTATCAAAATTGTTAAACTTTTGTTAACTCAATTTTAAACGTTTCATTGATTAGTTATATATACCTTGACAAAGGTTGCAACTCTTACGGCAATTCTTAGACATGTAGTAAGCGGACTTTTTGCAATGACCATGCGATGCCCAATACTTGCAATTCTTGTTGCCATCCTGACAATCTTAAGGTAAAAGGAAAAAAACATTGCAAACACAGGTTGTTTATAGCTCCATTAATTGGATGTTGGTAGATAATCCATTGATGAATGGAGAAAATATTTTTAATTTAAAAAAAGACCTCTTTTCCCTTCTTCCTCACCTCCTTCTGTGTCCTCTCCGTCTGTTTCAAATTGGAGAAAGGAAAAATGAAATTAGAATTATTAGCGATAACTCACTTTAAGTATTGGTTTTGCCTTCCGTGTATTCGACTCGGGGGCAAAATGCAGAAAACTGTAAAGAACATATGGATATTTATTCTTTTTGTGCAATGCCTGAATTGAAAATTATGTTATTTAAATTTTTGACACTCTTAACGGTCTAGGTCCTCTCTAATTAATAAGGAAAAAGCTGGATTGTTATTGGATTTTAGATAATATTAACGAGGTATACCAAGACCGTGGTCAACGAAAGACTGTGGATTTATGAATTTCATAGATGAACTTAGGATTAATAAATGAAGTTACGAGCGATCTTCACGTCTTCCATCTTTGAGTGATTTCACTAATTAGATATTTGAAACTAAGAGCTTGTTAAGTGATGCGCTCGTCAAATTATAGTTGTTGTACCATATATCACATCACAATCAAACATTATCAAAATTTTTAAACTTTTGTTACTCGTCATTGATTAGTTATATATACCTTGACAAAGGTTGCAACTCTTTCGGCAGTTCTTAGACATGTAGTTAGCAGACTTTTCGCAATGACCATTCGATGCCCAATACTTGCAATGCTTGTTGCCATCCTGACATTCTAAAGGCAAAAAAAAAACATCTCAAACACAAGCTGTTTGTAGCTCAATTTATTAGCTATGTTGGTAGATAATCCAGCAATAAATGGGGAAATGTTTTTAATTAAAAAAAGGCACTTTTTACCTTCTTCCTCCGCTCCTCCGCCTTTGTCCTCTCCGTCTATTTTAATAGGAGAAAGAAATTACGAAATTAGAATTCTTTAGCGGTAACAAACTTTAAGTATTGATTTTGCCTTTCATGTGTTCGACCAAGAGACGGTATACAGCGAACTTTAAAGGAACATGGAGTGGCGTAAGGAAATTTCACTCAGGTGTTGTCCTTTTCCGCCTTCAGTCGGCACCACACCCTTAACGAGACGAAGCCTGTTTTTACTGTTTATAATGTATGCTGCACTCCCACACAAAATTAATAAAGAAAGTTCTCCAGATCGACGCATATGATGTTCTTCCATGTCATCTTGCAAAAAAAACATTGAGACCCAAGTAAGGGAGGCAGTATATGCGTCCTAACTAATGTGTCGGGGAATGTGGGTCCCCGTGTGATTATACTAACTAAGATATTTGCAACTAAGAGCTTGTTAAGTGATGAGCTCGTCAGGTCATAGTTATTGTACCATTTATCGTATCAAAATCAAATATTACATTGATCAAACATTATCAAAATTTTTAAACTTTTGTTTACTCTATTTCAAAGTTTTAATTGAGTGGCTATAATACCTTGACAAAGGTTGCAACTCTTTCGGCAGTTCTTAGACATGTAGTTAGCAGACTTTTTGCAATGACCATGCGATGCCCAATACTTGCAATTCTTGTTACCATCCTGACATTCTGAAGGCAAAAAAAAAAACATTTCAAACACAAGCTGTTTGCAGCTCAATCTACTAAGTGTTGTTAGATAATCCTGTGATGAATGGGGAGAAGATTTTCTAGTTAGGTTACTTTAAAGCGGTAAGGAATACAGTTTAAGGGTAGTTTCCTGAGTAATTAGACTGGGTTTGTTAGTTTTGTCAAATATAGCAAATCATAGCTGTTTTATAGGAAATTCTTGGCTTCATCGCATAGTGGCCTCTATCACTGTGTTATTCGCACATGGACAGTCAACCAAATTTTAGTGGCCGCACGCAAATGATTACAAATTGAATTCCCTACATTTAAGAGTCACGTCTGTATAACAGGCCAGAAACTGGCTCCTTATTAGAGACAGCAATTCGCTAGATCGGATTTTGGGAATGGCGATGCTTGATGAGAATCAAGTTTGGAAGCGTCACGTTTTTCTCTGCAGTTATGCCCGCTCATTTGTATGTCGATATGATTACAATGACAAATGTTTTTCTTTCATTTGCTTTACATCCTATCTGAGATCTAGATCACATAACTGGCTTAAACCAGGAGCGATTTTGTGACCGACAGAGGAATGGATTCACAAGAGGTCACCCGCGAAGCTTCGTATTTCTTCCGCTCAGAAATGGATTAGACTTTTGAGTTCATGTAAATTTTTGAAAAAAAAAAAAGGTATTTTGTAGCATACAATAACATTCAAAATTTAACCATAAAAAAAATCATCAAAAGGCGCTTATTGAGAAGAAAAAATGTAAACCAAATCTGATATACCTTCTTCTTCGCCTCCCTCTTCTTTTTCTCCTTCCTCTGTTTTAACAAGAGGAAAGACATTTTAAAATTTAAAAAGTATAATGGCGAATAAATCAGATTTTCGATTTTTTTTTCTGTTATTTTTTGCATCATGTCTTACCAGTGTGTAAGAATTCGAGCTTGAGCCTGGCCTGGTCACATCCTTTCCAATACACTAATGCTCCTCCTTCACGAGGCCATCCGCCATTCGGATGAACACAGAAATTGTTCTTTAAGTTCTTCAGGTTGTGATATTTCTGCAACCTAAAATAGCTTACTTTTCAGTGGCTATGATATAGGGATGGTCAAAGAATCTAATGTTAAAAATTTGTTACTTTTGTAGCTTTACTATATACCTTGAATTAACGTTGGTTGTAACTAAAATGAAAGACAGCCGACTGGCGTATTTACAGACCTTACGTGCTTAGAAATTCCACGGTCACATTTGTCCTTCAGCATCAGCTTTTTACCATTGGTAGGGTTATTGTCTACAAAATAAAATTACAAAGAAAACATCGATCAAACAGGATATTGGTAACTCTAGGTTCTTCAAATACTTAATTCCTCTTGATGCAAAGAAAATCAGTCTCCATCGAGCTCACCATGGATGTCTTAATCGAGCCAACGATTTGGTTTAGCGCGTAAAACGAGATCGAAAATGCCCTTGCTCGATTGCTGTTAAGTAGTTGCCTAAAATAGAGATTTCTTTGCTTGGCGTCGGTTTGCCTTAATGATTCGATTTAGTGCCCTTCGATCCAATAATTGCCCCCCCCCCCCTATTTGATGTTTGTTAATAAGCGCCCCTATTCTGATAAGCGCCCCCATTAAGTAAGTACCTCCATTAAAATGAGCCCCGCATTCCAATGCGATAAATGCCGCTCTTATGGTGGAGTACATGGTCATTGAGATTAATCGGGGTTTTTTTTCCTTTGATTTCTCACTTAAAACCTCTTAAAGGTCTTTGTCTCAGTCTCTCAAACATCATTTCCATGTGAGTGCATACACGGTTCATTACAACGGATGCTGCGTCTTAAAATTTTGTGACGATTGCTTGGCTGGGTTGTTCTAGCCAGGAATTATCCAAGTCCGTTTGCCGGTCTTCTTGGATCTTTTCAGATGAAAGTCACAGATTTTTTTTTCCGCCCATTCTGCTGTTTCTCAAAAAACAAATAAGCGCCCTCTTCCATGTAAGCGCCCTTTCTCTATTAAGTGCCTCCCTTGAGGTACACCAAAAGTAAACAAGCGCCTCACACTCTGAATCGATTCATTACGGTATTATTTTGATACCGTGAAACAAAAACAACAAGATGCAAACAAACGAAATCCGGGGATATTAACCTAGCGAGCATTAATTTACCTTGTGGACAAACCACCTTCCCGCTGCACTTGTGATGAATAACGCCATTCTGGTCAAGACGAAAGATCTGATCCCTTGCATTACAAGCCGTGCCTTGCTTTTTAGTGAAGATGAGATAACTGCCGCCGGGAGGTGAACAACCTCCCCTGTTTGGGGCCACACAGTAGTCACCGTAGCTTCGTATTCCTCCCGCTAATAATCGACATAGACGTTTGAATACGAAGTTTATTTCTGGATAAAAATGGCTTTTTGCAAGGCATACGATAAAAATCAAAATGTAATAATAAAAAAGAAATTGTAAATAAAACCAAACCTGATTTTCCTTCTCCTTCGCCTCCCTGTCCTTTTCCTCCTTCCTCTGTTTTAACAAGAAGAAAGACAAATTAACAATAACAAAAATAAAAAAAACTAATCAAGTTATTTATTTCGCCTTTTTGTATTTTTCGAACACGAGGCAGCCTGTAGAGATACTCTCTAGAAACCAACGTGAACTTCCTTCTCACTTTTTCACTGGCCAAATGAAAACAACTCTGCTTAATGAATTGTAAGTAATTTAGTATGAACAACTGGATTGAAAACGTAAATTAGCCACCGTAAAGGGTAAAAAAGCTAACGTTTCGAGCGTTAGCCCTTTGTCAGAGCGATGGACGAAGAGCTAACGCTCGAAACGTCAGCTTTTTTACCCTTTACGGTGGCTAATTTACGTTTTCAACCCAGTTGTTAACACTAAATTACCTGCTATACTCTCCCAACGACGCAGCACCACAGTTTCTTTAGAAACTTACCCCTTTATTCATGAATTGTAACACTTTCAGAGTTTTGTGTTGTTATCGAGGGACAGGTTTGACGGACCGAGTGTTTCTGGAGGTAACCGACTCGAAGTTTGGGTTGAGCTCATAAAGTTTTAACTATACCGTACCATATATCATATCACAATCAAATATTACCGCAATCAAACATAATGAGAATGTTTAAACTTTCGTTTACTCTAGTTTAAAGTTTTCACTGAGTGGTTATATATACCTTGACAAAGGTTGCAACTCTTACGACAGTTCTTAGACATGTAACTAGCAGACTTTTTGCAATGACCATGCGATGCCCAATACTTGCAATTCTTGTTGCCATCCTGACAATCTAAAGGCGAAAAAAGAAATTGCAAACACAGGCTTTTTAGAGCTCACTCTATTGATTGTTTGTGAATATTCTTGTATGGGAATATATATATATTTTTAAAGTTAGATTATCTTTAAGCCTTAATTTTATAAGGAATTCAGTTTAAGGGTAGTCTTCTTCTCAGACCGGCTGGGTTTGTCTATTTTGCCAAACACAACAAATCGTAACTTTTTTCTAGGAAAATGTTAGCTTCATCGCTTTGATGTACAGTTTCTGGAGAGGTGGCCTCTATCACTGTGTTTTTCGCACGTGGACAGTCTACCAAATTTTAGTGGCTGCACGCAAATGATAACAAATTGAATTCAAACTCTCCTATAAATAAGAGTCACGACTCTCTAATAGGTCAGAGACTGACCTCTCAGAGATAGCAATTCGCTCAGTCGAATTTTGGGCATGGCGAAGCTTGATGACAATTATATTTATACAATGACAAATTGTTTTTCTTCCATCTGCTTTACACCCTGTCTAAGATCTGGGTCCCACAAATGAAACCAGGAGCTATTTGTGACCGCCAGGGGAATGGATTCGCAGAGAAGTCACCGAAGCTTCGTATTTCTCTCGCTAACATATGAAGAAGACTTTTGAGTTGAGGTTAATTTTTGAAAAATAAAAGTTCCTTTGCAGCATACAGTAAAATTCAAAATTTAACCCTAAAAGAGAAATTATTAGTAGACGCTGATTGAGAAGAAAAATTTTAAACAAAACCAAACCTGACTTACTTCCTTCTTCGCCTCCCTGTCCTTTTCCTCCTTCCCCTGTTTTAACAAGTAGAAATACAAATTAACAATAGAAAAAAAATTAATTAAGTTATTTATCAAGCCTTTTTCTTATTTTTCGAACAAGAGACAGCCTGTAGAGATACTCCTTAGAAAATAACGTGAACTTCCTTCTCGCTTTTCACTGGCCAAATGAAAACAACTCTGCTTCATGAATTGTAACACTTTCAAAGTTTTGTCTTATTATTGAGAGACAGGTTTGATAGACTTAGTGTTTTGGGAGTAACCAACTCGGGGTTTGGGTTGAGCCCATAAAGTTATAACTATACTGTACCATATATCATATCACAATCAAATATTACCGCAATCAAACATAATGAGAATGTTTAAACTTTTGTTTACTCTATTTTAAAGTTTTGATTGAGTGGTTATATATACCTTGACAAAGGTTGCAACTCTTACGGCAGTTCTTAGACATGTAATTAGCAGACTTTTTGCAATGACCATGCGATGCCCAATACTTGCAATTCTTGTTGCCATCCTGACAATCTAAAGGCAAAAAAAAAACATTGCAAACACAGGCTTTTTAGAGCTCACTCTATTGACTGTAGATTTTCCTATATGGAAAAAAATATATAGATATTTTTAAAGTTTTATTACCTTAAAGCCTTTATTTTATAAGGAATTCAGTTTATGGGTAGTCTTCTTCTCAGACTGGGTTGGTTTGTTTTGCCAAATACAACAAACCATAACTTTTTTCTAGAAAAATCTTAGCTTCATCGCTTTGATATACAGTTTCTGGACAAGTGGCCTCTATCACTGTGTTTTTCGCACATGGACCGTCTACCAAATTTTAGTAGTCGCACGCAAATGATAACAAATTAAATTCAAACACTCATATATATAAGAATCACGACTCTCTGATAGGTCAGAAACTGGCTTCTTATAGATAGCATTTCGCTCGATCGAATGTTGGGAATGGCGATGCTTGATAAAAATCATGTTTAGAAGCGTCACGTTTTTCTCTTTAGTTATGCCCGCTCATTTGTATGTTGATATGATTACAATGATAAATTGTTTTTCTTCCATCTGCTTTACACCCTGTCTAAGATCTGGGTCCCATAGATGAAACCAGGAGCTATTTGTGACCGCCAGGGGAATGGATTCACAAAGAAGTCACCGAAGCTTCGTATTTCTCTCGCTAAAAAATGAAGTAGACTTTTGAGTTGAAGTTAATTTTTGGAAAAAATGAAAATTTTTTTGTAGCATACAATAAAATTCAAACTTTAACCCTACAAGAGAAATTATCAATAGACGCTGATTGAGAAGAAAAATTTTAAACAAAACCAAACCTGACTTACTTCCTTCTTCGCCTCCCTGTCCTTTTCCTCCTTCCTCTGTTTTAACAAGAAGACAAATTAATAATAAAAAAAACTAATCAAGTTGTTTATTTAGCCTTTTTCATATTTTTCGAACACGAGGCAGCCTGTAGAGATACTCCTTAGAAAATAACGTTAATTTCCTAACGCTTTTCATTGGCCAAATGAAAACTCTGCTTTATTAATTGTAACACTTTCAAAGTTTTGTGTTATTAATGAGAGACAGGTTTGATAGACTGAGTGTTTTGAAGGTAATCATCCAACTCGGGGTTTGGGTTGGGCCCATAACGTTATGACCATACTGTACCATATATCATATTACAATCAAATATTACCGCAATCAAATATTATGAGAATGTTTAAACTTTTGTTTACTCTATTTTAAAGTTTTCATTGAGTAGTTACACATACCTTGACAAAGGTTGCAACTCTTACGGCAGTTCTTAGACATGTAGTTAGCAGACTTTTTGCAATGACCATGCGATGCCCAATACTTGCAATTCTTGTTGCCATCCTGACAATCTAAAGGCGAAAAAAAAAATATTGCAAACACAGGCTTTTTAGAGCTCACTCTATTGATTGTAGATTTTCCTGTATGGGAAAAATATATAGATATTTTTAAAGTTAGATTACCTTAAAGCCTTCATTTTATAAGGAATTCAGTTTACGGGTAGTCTTCTTCTCAGACTGGGTTGGTTGGTTTGCCAAATACAACAAATCATAACTTTTTTCTAGAAAAATCTTAGCTTCATCGCTTTGATATACAATTACTGGACAAGTGGCCTCTATTACTGTGTTTTTTCGCACATGGACCGTCTACCAAATTTTAGTAGCCGCACGCAAATGATAGCAAATTAAATTCAAACACTCATATATATAACAATCACGACTCTCTGATAGGTCAGAAACTGGCTTCTTATAGATAGCATTTCGCTCGATCGAATTTCAGGAATGGCGATGCTTGATGAAAATCATGTTTAGAAGCGTCACATTTTTCTCTGTAGTTATACCCGCTCATTTGTATGTTGATATGTTTACAATGATAAACTGTTTTTCTTCCATCTGCTTTACACCCTGTCTAAGATCTAGGTCCCATAGATGAAACCAGGAGCTATTTGTGACCGCCAGGGGAATGGATTCACAAAGAAGTCACCGAAGCTTCGTATTTCTCTCGCTAAAAAATGAAGTAGACTTTTGAGTTGAAGTTAATTTTTGGAAAAAATGAAAATTTTTTTGTAGCATACAATAAAATTCAAACTTTAACCCTACAAGAGAAATTATTAATAGACGCTGATTGAGAAGAAAAATTTTAAACAAAACCAAACCTGACTTACTTCCTTCTTCGCCTCCCTGTCCTTTTCCTCCTTCCTCTGTTTTAACAAGAAGACAAATTAATAATAAAAAAAAAAAACTAATCAAGTTATTTATTTAGCCTTTTTCATATTTTTCGAACACGAGGCAGCCTGTAGAGATACTCCTAAGAAAATAACGTGAATTTCCTAACGCTTTTCATTGGCCAAATGAAAACTCTGCTTTATTGATTGTAACACTTTCAAAGTTTTGTGTTATTAATGAAAGACAGGTTTGACAGACTTAGTGTTTTGAAGGTAATCATCCAACTCGGGGTTTGGGTTGGGCCCATAACGTTATAACTATACTGTACCATATATCATATTACAATTAAATATTACCGCAATCAAACATTATGATAGTGTTTAAACTTTTGTTTACTCTATTTTAAAGTTTTCATTGAGTGGTTACACATACCTTGACAAAGGTTGCAACTCTTACGGCAGTTCTTAGACATGTAATTAGCAGACTTTTTGCAATGACCATGCGATGCCCAATACTTGCAATTCTTGTTGCCATCCTGACAATCTAAAGGCGAAAAAAAAAAACATTGCAAACACAGGCTTTTTAGAGCGCAGTCTACAGGTTGTTTGTTTTTTTTCTCCAGTCCTTTATGGGAAATATATTTTTTAGTTAGAATGCCTTAAAAATTTTATTTTGTAAGGAATACAGTTTAAGTGTAGTCTTCTGAATAATCAGACTGGGTTTGTTAGTTTTGCCAAATAAAGCAAATCATATCTGTTTTTTAGGAAAATCTTGGCTTTATCGCTTTGATTAACAGTTCCTGGACCTAGTGGCCTCTATCACTGTGATTTTCGCACAAGGACAGTTAACCAAATTTTAGTGGTCGCACGCAAATGATAACAAATTGAATTCAAACTCGTCTATATAAAAAAAAACTTGCCTCTTAGAGATAACAATTCGCTCGGTTGGATTTTGAGGACAGCCACACGTGATGAAAATCATGTTTAGAAGCGTTACGTTTTTCTCTTTAGTTATGCCCGCTCATTTGTATGTTGATATGATAAAAAATGACAAATTGCTTTTCTTTCACCTACTTTACGCCCTATATTAGATCTGGGTCACATGAATCAAACCACGAGCGAGTTTGTGACCGTCAGAGGAATGGATTCACAAAGAAGTCACAGAAGCTTTTTATTTCTCCCGCTAATAAATGAAGTAGACTTTTGAGTTGAAGATAATTTTTGAAAAAAGAGCGCTTTTGTAGCATACAAGAAAATGCAAAATTTCATCATAAAAAAAAAATTAACAGACTCTTATTGGGAAGAAAAATTTTAATCAAAACCAAACCTGATTTACCTTCTCCTTCGCCTCCCTCTTCTGTTTCTCCTTCCTCTGTTTTAACAAGAGGAAAGACATTTTAACGGTCAAAAAGTATAATGGCGAAAAAATCAGATTTTAGATGTTTTTTTTTTATTGTTATTTTTGGCATCATGTCTTACCAGTATGTAAGAATTCGAGCTTGAGCCTGGCCTGGTCACACCCTTTCCAATAAACCAATGCTCCTCCTTCACGAGGCCGTCCGCCGTTCGGATGAACACAGAAGTTGTTCTTTAGGTTCTTCAGGTTGTGATATTTCTGCAACCTGAAATAACTTACTTTTCAGTGGGTGTGACAGTGGAATGGCCAAAGAATCCAAAATTTGTTACTTTTGTCGCTTTATTGTAAATTTAATCAGATTAACAATAGTTGTAACTAAAATCAAAGACAGCCGACTGGCGTATTTACTCACCTTACGTGCCTAGAAATTCCCCGGTCGCATTTGTCCTTCAGCATCAGCTTTTTACCATAGGAAGGGTTATTGTCTAAAAAACAAAATTACACAGAAAACGTCGATGAGCAGGATACTCTACTGATAAAAATAAGTTATTCAACTACTTCATTCCCTTGATGCTCAGAAAATCAATTTCCATCGTGCTCATCATGCTTGTCTTAATCGAGCCAACTACTTGGTTTAGCGAGTAAAACGAGGCAAAAAATGCTCTTACTCGATTGTCGTTCGGTAGTTACCTACAATAGAGATTTCTTTGTTTTGCGTCGTGTTACCTCAATGATTTGTTTTAGCGCCCTTCGTCCCAATAAGTGCATCGTCTTTAATATGCGCCCTTCCATCTGGTTTTTGTCAATAAGCTCCCTTATTCTGAGAAGGGCCCCCATACGGTAAGTGCCCCCATTCCAATGGGTGCCGCTATTCTAATAAGCGCCCCTATTCTGGTGGATTACATGGACATTGAGACCAATCGTGGTTCGTTTTCCTTTAATTTCTCACTTCAAGCCTCTTAAAGGTCTTTGTCTCAGTCTCTCAACCATTATGTCCATGTGAGTGCATACACAGTTCATTTAAACGAATGTCGCGTCTTAAAATTTTGTGATGATTTCTTGGCAGGGTTGTTCTAGCCAGGAATTATCCAAGTCCGTTTGCCGGTCTTCTTGATTCTTTTCAGATAAAAGTCACTGCTTTTTTTTCCGCCCATTCTGCTGTTTCTCAAAAAACAAATAAGCGCCCTCTTCCTTATAAGGGCCCTGTCTCTAATAAGGGACAAAAATAATGCGCCTGATACAAGATCATTACGGTATTTGAAACAAACAAAAACAACAAGATGAAAACAAACGGAAGCCTGGGATATTAACCTAGCGAGCATTAATTTACCTTGTGGACAAACCACCTTCCCGCTGCACTTGTGATGAATAATGCCATTCTGATCAAGACGAAAGATCTGTTCTCTTGCATTACAAGCCGTGCCTTTCTTTTTAGTGAAGATGAGATAACTGCCGCCTGGAGGGGAACAACCTCCCCTGTTTGGGGCCACACAGTAGTCACCGTAGCTTCGTATTCCTCCCGCTAATAATCGACATAGACGTTTGAATACAAAGTTTATTTTTGGATAAAAATGGCTTTTTGTAAGGCATAAGATAAAAGTTAAAATTTAACCATAAATAAGAAATTGTGAATGAAACCAAACCTGATTTTCCTTCTCCTTCGCCTCCCTGTCCTTTTCCTCCTTCCTCTGTTTTAACAAGGAGAAAGACAATTTAGATAATTTAGTAGTCGAAAAAAGAGGCTGCCTGGAGAAATACTCTTTAGATAAAACCGAGAATTTCCTTCTCGCTTTTTATTGGCTAAATTAAAAAACTCTGCTTCAGTAACACTTTCAAAGTTTTGTGTTATTTATGAGAGACAGGTTTGACAGACTGAGAGTTTTTTTGAGGTTATCAACTCGGGATTTGGGTTGGGCCCATAAAGTTATAGCTACCATATATTATATCACAATCAAATAATACCACAATCAAACATTACGAGAATGTTTAAACTTTGTTTACTCTATTTTAAAGTTTTCACTGATTAGTTATACATACCTTGACAAAGGTTGCAACTCTTACGGCAGTTCTTAGACATGTAATTAGCAGACTTTTTGCAATGACCATGCGATGCCCAATACTTGCAATTCCTGTTGCCATCCTGACAATCTAAAAGTATAAAAAAAGACATTGAGTTAGATTACTTTAAAGCTTTAATTTTGTAAGGAATTCATTTCAAGGGTAGTCTTCTGAATAATCAGACTGGGTTTGTTTGTTTTGCCAAATACAGCACTAAATCATAACTTTTTTTTAGGAAAATCTTGGCTTTATCGGTTTGACGTACAGTTTCTGGACCTAGTAGCCTCTATCACTGTGTTTTTCGCATTAGGACAGTCTACCAAATTTTAGTGGCCACGCGGAAATGATAACAAATTGAATTCAAACACTCCTATAAATATATATATATGAATCACGACTGTATAACAGGTCAGAAACTTGCCTTTTATAAATAGCAATTCGTTCGGTCTGATTTTTTAGGGATGGTAGCGTTTTTACACTCATCTGAGATCTGGCTCACATAAATGAAACCTGACGCGATTTTGTGACATGCGGGAGAATGGATTCCGATTTAACGCGCCAGAAAATCACACAAGAGTAATGCACGATATGGTGGTAGACGGAATATGCACGGGAGTGAAAAACAGACTTAGCGATTTTCTATGTTGCTCAGTATGACACAAAATGATGTGACGTAGCTTCTTTTACTGGATTTCGATCAACTCATCCTGGGTAAACAACACCCAGACATACCTGAGACAGAAATGGAACCTTTTAGTGGTCCCTCTCTCATCCAGTACCAGATGTAGGATGGCTGACTCTCCATACGGTCTCCACTAATCCAAGGCGCGGGATGGTAACTCTTATCGTCACCTAAAAAGATAAATAATTTAAAGATAATAATGACCCCTTTTTTTTTCCACCTTGAATAGACAATTTTTTTAAAAAATTAATGCCACTGATTGTTTGAACCGTGGTTTAGTCTGCTCTGGTATAATACTTTCAACAGCTAGAAATTATATTGTTATTTATGAAAACAAAGCTCAAATCGTTTGCTACAAGATTAATGTAATTGGAATGCCAACGACGCATTAGATAACGATATTCTGAAGGAAAGATTCAGGGAGAAATCCTGGAATGGAAGAGATTTTTTGACTTACAGATTTTTATAACCTATTAGCTTCTAATTTCGAAAATTATGACTAAATATTTCCCGTCCTTTTTTATACCAAAGTCGAGAAAGTAGTCGTTGCAAAATATGACATACAAATTATAAAATAAAAAAAAGTAAGTTACGAAAATTTCGTATAATCGTTTAAGGTCAGCCATACACTTTTTATTCCGTGTTATTTGTTTCCAAGCTTCTTTTCCCATCACTTCTGCGCCACAATATCTTGAAATTGGAATGCAGTTGAAATAAATTTTTCCATAGGACTTCTATATATATTTTGTATAAACTGACTGCCTCGTAACTATGAAAAAAGGGGGTAAGTTTCTCAAGAAACTGTGGTGCTGCGTCGGTGAGGGAGTGTAACAGGGTAATTTATTATTATCAAATGAGTTGATAACGTAAATTGGCCACATTAAAGAGTTTAAAAGCTGACTTTTCGAGAACGTTAGCCCTTCGTTCACCTGTTACCTCATAACTATAATGTTTACCTGTTATTGACCCCCACCAAGAGTGTTGAGCATGGCCGGAAGTGGTTAACCTGGCACCAGAAATCCATGGCATTCTTTGTTCGATGCCTCCGTTTGAATATTTCCAATTATCAAACTTCTTGATCAGTTCAACTTTCGTTTGTTTGTTGTTGGTGGCTGTGAAGGTGTAGTCCCTTGGAGCCTTCCAGATGCCTCCCCAACGACCTGAAAAGAGATCACAATATTTTAGTCTCAAGACCTAAAAACTAAGTTTCATTCTTGGAATTTCATGATGGTAAAAACTTTTCCAGAGATATTCATGTAGATAGAAGAACAAATTTAATAAAATATCCCCATAAGAGTTATTTGATTCAAGGATACAGAAGATAGTAAATGTATCGACGTATCACTTCAGTTTGCCACAGCCTTACTGCAGTACGAGGTGAAGGTAAAGTTATTGGGAGTGGATTCCCCTCTTGGCAGAACTATTTACCCTTTGACTGAAAGCCTGTGATGAGCTCTGCATGATGAGCTGATTCATCAAAGGTAATGAAAATGCCAGAGAGGCATGATGGTAGCCAAGATGGCCGCTCCCACTATGTGGGCAAAAATAGCGTAGCAACAATTTCTTATGCAATTGCATTTGGTACTCGTGTGAACGTCCTTCTTTCAATTTCATATTCCAAAACGTCGTGTTGGGACGTGAGGGGGAAGATGGCTTGGGAAAACTTGCTAAGCGAAGGGAAACGGGAGTCTTGGATCACAAAGCTTCTTCTTTCATGTACCACTGCCTTGCTGTCACAACTTCTATTAAGTGTTTTCAACCTCCCCTCCCCTTGCTTCGGAAACACTTTATTACCTCTGCTTTGAGCCTCTAGGCGATATTCAAACGTAGTTCCGGTCACTTCTTTGTTATTCTTAATGCTGTCCGCATATTGCAGAATGGAGAAGTCATCAGTCAACTTTGGGTAGTTTGTGTTTCGTAATTTCACATTCTGTGCCTTCCAGCTGTTGGTGTGGCTAGTAACCAGTAGCGTCCATCCTCCACCGTCACGTGTCATATCGCAGTAGGTCATAACAGGCCGGGAACCTGTGGGGTAAATCTTGTAGACTCCATCAGGGTAGAAATGGTTCTTTTCTCTGGCGATTCGTTGCAAGTGACGGCATGAAATCACCCCTGAAACACACATAGACAACCACAGAACGAATTAACCCTTTATCTCCCATGATCTCACCAGTCTGCCATACAGTTCCTGTGATATTTGTTTGGAGAATTTGATATTGAATCAACTAACTGATATTTTTCTTTATTCTTATCAATTGTCTGCTTGATATTGTACTGATAGTATAAGTTGTAAGGAGAAATTCTGTCTTAGTCACCCATGGGTGTTAAAAGGTTAAGAGACCTGCCATTATTTATCGCCTGGGGAAGGGGGCTGGAGGATTTAGGGGGATCACATGGTTTCAAGGGATTAGGGAGGGATTAGTCACCGCCAACAGAGTATTAAGGGGGAAGGGGACTAAAGAAAATTGACCACCAATAGATTGCCGATGAGGGAGGAATCACCAATCGAATGAATCATGGACGGTGAGAAGAATAATTACTCATTTTCGAAGTTGTTTCTAAACTAAAAATTTGTAAATCGTCACTACTGGGATCATTTCATCTTTTCAAAGTTCAAGTTGTTTTTTTAGTTTGCAGCTTTCTTCACCACTTCTCATGCACCCTTCAAATTGCGTCCGAAGTTACAAAAAAAATTTCAAGTGTACAGCATCCTTAGTCTTGTGAAGTTTTTATCAGTGAACACACTGATATAACTAACTACAAGAAAGTAAGTTAATCAATCGAACAAGAACTTTTTCTTGGTTCACATCTTTCGCTCACTTGGACATCTCTGTGTGTTACAATCCTTTGTCTGGAGCCGTTGTCCAGCGCAGTCAGCTCCACCATGCAGAGGTAGGGGGTTGTCACAGTACCGATGTCTTCTTCTCTTTCCGCCATCGCAGCCTTTGTCACACTTTGTCCATGAGGACCACCTACCCCAGGCTCCGTTACGTGGAGACAGCTCTGCACAAGGAAGTTAGAAGTGCAAGGGATATTAGCAAATAGCTCTCACTGAGAAAATAACATTTGAATATCAAAGAAAAAACCTTCGGCTCTCACCTGACTTGCAACCGTCTTTGGGATCAAATCCTCCTTGGCAATGGCAAACCTTTTTATTGGTGCAGACCTAGAAACATTTTGTAATTATTAAAATTTGAGTGAGAAAATGCTAATGACTTCAGTGAATTTTCGTGATTCAAGTCACGCCTTATATATTCGAATTCACATTGCGCTGCTTTCCATTCAATCGCATTGGGCTCACTTCCCAAAGAGACATCTGAATATGTTATGTCAATAGCTTAACTAGGCAAGCTCTTATTAACAGAGTTTCCAAGTCAGACACAGAAAAAATTCTGCGAATAATACCCGGGTCAATAGCAAATATCAGTTCGTTGAGAATCCACGTGATTGTTGTTTTTTCTGACAGCTGTTCATTCCTTACAAATTACACACAGTTGACTGGGAAAAAGGGGGATCTCGCTTGCATGATGGTGTAAAACTTAGACTGCGTAAAATGCTCCGGCAAAACCTGGAAATGTTAACTCCATTTTTATGCTTCTCACGAACTCAACATTAAGAATTACTTACCCCTCTTCCTGCACATTCTTTGTTGCCGACTACTGGACACTTGCCAACCACATTGAGATAACTGAGTGACTGGCACTTGTAATTGACACACATCTTAAACAGACATAAACAGGAGTAAACTTTCGGACTAAGGTAAACATATTCACTGTGTATTTATATCGACAGTGGGCGTATTGTGGAGAGGTGAAATCGCGCGGAGGGTGGATGGACACGAGAGAGCAGACTCACATTTGTTCTTAGAAGGACACCGAAAGCGCTCTTTACTAAGTAATAACCCAGAACTTATTTTTCTAAATAATTTTCTCCATATTCAAAGCAATTCTTTCAACATGGAACTCCTCTCACTAAAACTCTTGTAACCGAATGGTTGCTGTTCTTTCATACTTTTCTTACAATAAATTGATTGTGGAGAAAAATGTTTCCTAATGTGCAATAAAGCGGGGAAATCACGGTATATGAAAGGGGTCGGCTTTTTCCCCAAACGGCGTTATATTTATGAAACAGGAACGTTCTGAGTGTTTAAGATTATGTTTGGATATTAATTGATAGCCTGCATGACAGGACGAATCCGTAAAGGGTCTTAAAAGGAGGCTAATGGTATCATACCTTATGAGGTCCACATTTTGTTCCATCTCTTACCATTCCCAGTCCAACGCTGTCACCACCTTTCAGTTCTACAGCACTGTGAGAAGTAAAACCGTGTTTGACTACGTGTTTTTGCATTTCTTGAAAATATGACCCCAAAGTGATAAAACGTTTTTTTTTTCAATTGTAAGTTTTAATGGTTTCGTTTCTAAAGATATGTAAAGGAATTGAACAGGAGGCATCTAAAAGTAAATTTAAATATGGACACCACGAGTATAACGTTTTGAAACTCGTCCTTATTATCTAGCTTACGAGAGGCATTTTATAAGTTGACTCCTTTTTTCTCAGAGGAACAAAAATAAAGTAATACTAACTTGCATTTTTTCCCGGAAGGCAAAATTATCTTTTTGTCTCTGGCCCGTCCATAGTCAACAACAGGTTTTTTTCTGCTATCGTCCGCTTCACATTGCAGCTGGCCGCATAAAACATCCCTTGGAGAAAATATATTAATTAGTTGCCGCCAAGCTAATAACATAACACGCCTCCTTACACAGAACGTAAGAAACTAGATTTACTAGTTAAAAGGACTTTAAATGAAATCTTACGTAGGTTGACTTTGAAGACTCTTGCTAATGGTTAAATAACACATTTTTTTATCACTTAAATTGTTTTACTTTTTCACTAAGTGTACCATAAGAATTTTTGTTTTGTTCATGAAACGAAATCGCTTCATTATTAAAACCTTAGGATGTTTCAGTATGTGAAACAAAGAGTTGTTATCTTCTTTTGGCCGTTTATCGAGCGCTCTTTGTGTAGTTTGTAAATTGCACTCAAGAAGTTCATAAATTTTCTTAGGAATAGTACTCCGCTCACTAAAAAGAATGTCATGTACCTTGAAGCACAACGTCTTTTGGTTGTTGGATCACATGTACCATATCCTCTAGCCTCAGTGTTCAGTTTGTCATAGCATCCTCGGTCAGCGCTTGTGGCGGCTGCAATAGGTCAAGTTAGTCTCAAATGAATAAAGGGGGTAAGTTTTTGAAGAAACTGTGGTGCTGCGTCGTTAGGGGTAAAACATGGTAACTTGGTTTTATCAACTGATTTGATACTGTAAATGGGCCACCTGTATAGAGTTTGTAAAGCTGAAGATTCGAGCGTTAGCCCTTTGTCGGAGCGCAGGAAGACGTCAATTAACTATAATTGAACCGAGAGGCTTTTAGCATCCAAATTTCCTCATTTGAGGGGTTTCAGGTCTAAATCCTGTCTAGTGTACTGGTAATGTCGTCTATTTTAATATTTAACTAAAAAACTTAATGTTTGAAGCGAGACACCTTTATTTAGGAAAAAAACATTAAGTCGGCAGCTAAAAAAGATTGAATATGACATACAAATCCTATAAGAATATTTTATGAATTGAAGGCAAACAGTGTTTGTAACAAAACGTTAGATAACATAAAAGACAAAAAGAAATGAGCACATTTACTTACTAGCTCCCCATAAGTCCTTGCACTGAGTGTTAGGAGTTTCGCTGCACTTTCCAAGGTAACAGAAGGACTGAAATGGGAAAGAAAACAAGAAAGGTTCTTAGAAGTAAACAGACAACTGACTTTGAGTGATTACAATATCCTTTGCTTACATCGGATTGTTGATCGTCACCACTCTCTGCGTAAGTTTTCCACCGCTGACCATCGTAACTGTAGTGTAAGAAGAAGCCGGTCACCCAGTCGTACCAGTTTCCACGCCCTTGCATCAGGATTTTACTGACAGTTTTAACCTAGATTTGTAAAAGGACAATAAGACAATATATAAAAGTCCATCTATAAAGGTAACAACCAAGTTGAAAATGCTTAATGATGATCAGTTACGTTTGAAGCAGCTCTGTTGGCGAGAGGTGGCTTTGTAGGATATAACTCTGAAATGATCCTGGGTCAAACATAATGACTTCATCCTATGATCCGTTACAACTGACAAAACACTACATCTTTTTTTTCGGATGATTAACTGGATAGAAGACAGGTAACACCATAAAGCCTTCACCTTTGAGTTTTGACAATCGATTCCACTTGGCTGCTTTTGAATAATGAATGACCTCTCGATAAAAATCGGAGATTAGGGATTCTTTAAGCTTTACTACACGTTCCAAATTAAATCACGTTGCACCGGTCGATCCAATAAATTTTGAGGACAGAATACAAGATTCCTTGCCATAAGCCGCCTTATAGTATCAAAGATTCTAGTAGTTAATTCTTTACCTAATTAAAAAAAATCAGTATGAAAAACTAATTACAAAAAAATTTCTCTAAACTCATAGTAATAATAAGTGAACTGCGATAAAGAATTAGCGCTGAAATTTAACATTAAAATAATTAACCAGTTTCTGGCCAAAGACTGTAAAAGTATTAGGCTCTTTAATGCTAAGAGGTAGTTCATTCCTTGAGCGACAAACTCGAATAAAAAATGAATTCTTTCAAGTTTCTGTTCGATTAAAATTGAGAAGAAGTGTTCGATTATCAACAATTCTCAAAGGCTTGTTGCTAGAACGAAACGATAAAAAGTCCAAAATAACAAATTATATATATCCTTAAAGCGTTTAAACCAGAACTAGATCGCGAGTTTCCCTAAGAAATTGTAAAGGGTACTAAATTTTATTTACTAAGGCGCTCGTGCTCAGAATACACCTTACCATCTTTCCTCGTATTCTGTTTTTGCATTGTTCATAAACTATCCGACTATTCTAATCTATTATCAAAACGTACCTTTCCCAAGTCAACTTGTATATATTCGGCCTTGTTATTAGCTTTGGCACACCAGTATTTTTTGCCTTTGAGTCTTGCATAATGCGCAAAATCCTGAGCTCTATATGAGGTAGCAGTAATCTGGCGGTCTTTGATTTCACCGTTCTGCATTCCAAGAGGCTCCACACAATCTATAAGTATACGACTTATACTATGTAATGTATTGAAAGGAAAGTATAAACCAATTTTTTTAACTCGAATTTAAGTTCTTTAAAAAATTGGGTGCTATGGATAGGATGTAAGGCGCCGAGAGAGGCCAGTGTCTCTCCTACACAGCAAAAAAGGTCCCACCCAGGACCTTTTTCATATATAAACCGTCGCGTTAACCACGAGACCACCGCTTTTCCCACAACGTATACTTTAAAAGTGTGATTATAATTAATCTAGTTTTTATTCTATTATATTTAATTATTATTGTTATTATGAAGAGCACCTTTTGGTGAAGTGGGCTCCCTGCTAAAATATTGTTATTATAATTACTATTATTATTATTATTGTTATTATCATTGTTATTATCATTAAAAGGTGTACCTTGTTTCCCGAACCACAGTTGTAGCCTGTGCTGATCGCATCCAGACCATATTACCAGATGTCTTCCGTTTCCTGGCCAGTATCCCGTAGGATGAACACATTTGCCAGACTTGACGTGCTTTAAAGATCGCCCTATTAAGTAAACAAACAAACAAACAAACAATAGACCTAGCCATCAGAAAACAAAACGGAATGCAATTACTTAAAATACCTGCAGGTTGGTAAGCGGTGAAAATTTCCGTTGAAAGTGGCTCTTTTTAAGGATTTTATGTAATATTGGAAACCTAAGTTCAGTAGCCGTACATGAGGCAATTGTCTGTAAAACTGTCCTAAAACTTTTTGCCTTAAACTGGGAAGCGAAATTAATGGATTTTGACTCAATTAGCATCAAGATTTTAATTCCACTGAGGCAAACACCTAAAAAAATCTTCCGAAAGAATTCCTCCAGCCCCCCTCCACTCCAGGGAACGAAAACAACAGAACCCAAGAAGCACAAACATTGATGGAAACTACGTTACCCTACGATTCAAATATATCTTTCTAAATTAGCTAATAAGGTGTATATATGTACCTCTGATTGTTGAATACATTCTCAGTTCGAGAGGTGGCCACTAAGGAGGTAATACGCATTTCTTTGGACTTACCTGCGGTTCGTATAAATTTCGAGTCTGCGACTTTACAAGTCCTGCTGACCACAATCTTTGCACCATTATGCGTCCCGCCATTTTCGGGACAGACCAATTTCCCACTGCAAGCGTGGCGTAACAATCCGTCTTTGCCACGCGTGAATTGAAAATGTCTCTCTGAGCATCTGCTACCGGATACAAATATGATGAGCTCGTTGTCACGTGGGGAACAGCTCTTGCTTGATGGAGCCAGACAAAGGTCAAAGTTGTTTGACTTCAGCGGTGTAGGGGTAGTTGGACTTACTGTCAGAACGAACGTAAAGAAACATGTTAAAATAGAGTGATTATTTGACTTCCGGACCAAGATATACGCAACAACGTGGAGTAGCATTGTAGCGTACCATTACCTTCATGCGCAGAACATCCCATGAAGTCAGTTCTCATACAGGGCCAGCCATGCCAGTATTGAGGATTGATACGAAGATACCGAGCGTTGACCATGGGGTTCAAGTCCCTTGTGACCACACTGTAGAAGTTAGTGTTTCCTTGTATAACCTTCAAAGCATTCCAGAAAAAAAATCAATGATTAGCCCAAGGACTTTCTTCAAATTAACTAAAATGTGACTCGTAAGTGGCAAAATTATCTTCACAACCCACTTTGCAGACAGGAATACACCGGCTCAGCGGTGCTTTCTGGCTTTTAGTCAAGCGAGTTAGATGTACACGGATTTAAAGGAAAAATAACAAAGAGAAGTAAATGTAAACCTGTTTTTTTCATGCCATGAATTATTCGGTTTTTGTCCAAACCTTTCTCGTGAAAATAAGCAAACGAGAAGAAAAATCAGGGAAGAAAGGAATCCCATCGAAGACCGACGAGGTGTATGACAACTAGTTGGAAATATTGTTCTTTTGAAATGAAAGCTGGTCACCTAGTTATGCACATTACTAATAAATTCATGATATTTAGAGACAGAACTTAGTGGCAATTCGGTAAAAGTGAATAACGTTTTGAACTATATAACATGATATCTTTCTGATCATGAGAAACGTACCGTTTTCGCTTGGCTACATGGATATCCATTGATGATGTAGGTGTCTTCAGGACACTGAAAGAGTAAGAGTGATCAACTTTTAAGCTTCTAAAGTTCAGCAATTAAGCATAATTGAGGTTTGTTCTTGAAATAATCTAGAGTAACGATTCTTTTATCGGTATTAAAACCCAAACTATGTTAGACATGAGCGATTCACTAACACGCTGACCCCTACACTACTGCATAAATAGTGTGATTTAAAAAATTCATACACACGGCTGATAGTGAATTCGGCAGTGAATTGATAAAGTTATACACATAAATTTTGCAGCTAGTGTTATGACCATTTGTGGCTCCTTGTGTTCGTTTTATTGTGGACATAACAAAGTGCAATAACATATTTTGACAATCACCCACTTGTTAGCTACTACACGGTGGTTTCCATTACACAATAATTTCTGAGTCAAATTCTTAATTTGCTTACGTCTCTTGAAGCACCAGTGCAATATTCTGGAACATCACAATCAGTTTTGACTCCACGGCATAACGTTCCTTGTTTCTTAAACTAAACAAGAGTCAGAATTTGCAATTAGATTGCGTAAAGTACTAAGAACCATCGTTTCAACGATGAAACACTTTAATCTATGTGCTATAATTACTTTGGATCCTATACCGCTACGCATTTCTCGCAAGAAAACTGATCTTGTGGGTAACTGAAATAACATTAGATTTTTTATGGTGTCGTTTTTTGTTTTCTTCCGCAAATTTGCCCTAAAAATTGAAAGTAGGCTTGCTTCCTGACCGTTCAGGTGCGCCCGTGTTATCGTGCTCTTCGTTCATATTCAAAAGAAGTAGATAATATTTTGACTTGTGGATGATGATCAATTTAAGGAAAAGCCTTCGTAAGTGAGCTGTAATTGAGGGAATACTAGAAAAAGATAAATATAGAATTCAGACTAATATTTACTTAAAAGGGCACTTTCTCACAGCAACTGTTGTCAGTTGAATCTCAAAAATTCTTTTTTAAATTTCATGCAGTCTCTAACTCAACACTTCTCAGTTTCATGAGCCCGTAATGTTCAAGGGATTGTTGATTATTTTGTTACCAAGCAGTTCTTGCAGCATGAGTGATGTAAGTCACTGCACTGTGATTCCTTTTTGAGGACACAGTTGTGAGGTTCACAGCAAGGATCTTTGGCCTGGCACATCTGAGGAGATTAAAAACCATTTTCATCATTCCTGATCGTGTCCGAAGAATGAATGCTGTCACATCATGAAAGTAGTCAGCTATTGTAAGTGTTGGACAATTTAACCCTTTAACTCCCAAGATCTCATTAGTAATTATCCTTACTGTCTACCATGTAGTTCTTGTGATGTTGGTTTAGAGAATTTAGTCTAGAGAATTTGGTATTGAATCAACTAAAAGTCCCTCAGTTAATATTTTTCTTTATTCTCATAAGTTGTCTGCTTGATATTGTACTAATATTGTAAGGAGAAATTCTGTCTTGGTCACTCATGGGAGTTGAAGGGTTAAGACGTCCTTACGACAGCCTTTGTAGAGACATCGCAATAAACCCCACGCTAAAGCAATTTAAACAAACACATAATAGTGTATTAAATTGTTAAACCCAAACTCTCTAAAAAAGGAATTTTGCTCAAATCATTTACAAACCTCAGGGGTACCACAGTCGCACTCCTCTCCTTTCTCGCGTATGCCATTTCCACAATAACTGTTGTAGGCCTAGAGAAAAATCAAACGAATCAACAGCTTCAAGATGTTCTTCTAGCTACTTAAGTGCATATTTCAACCGAAATCGAAACCGAAGCAGTGATCAAAAATGAGAAATCCAAATAATACATTTTCTGACGTTTTATTTATCATACCCATGTTTGTGACAATTGCATCCAAATTTGCTGAATTTAAGCCCTTAAGTATCATCTGAACGCTAACCAAATTTTGACTAGAAAATGAGTTTGTTCTTTGTTGTATGAAGGGACTCCATTACATGGGGGATACCTTTATTTTGTCGATATTTTTAGGGCTGCTTATAATTAAAAGGCTGATAATTCTTGAATAAATTATCATCCGCAATCCCCCCCTCCTCTTTTTCTGTTATGGTTACCTTGTAAGTTGGTACGTTGTACAAGCACGCGTCATTGATCTTTTGAAGCGATTTAAGGCTGCAATCCGAAAATCCTGGAAGTCTAGTCCTGAAATCCAAATTGGGAAAATTTCTCGTCAGATCTCAGTCGATGCAAATATAGCAGATACGTAAACATCACCTACTCAATAAAATGTCTTGCACGAATTTACAACTGCGATGAATTTCGTCTTGCACTTTTATTGTTCCTCTGTTTTCATCCAACTTTTTAATATGATTTTATTTGTATTCAATAGTATTTTACTGACTGAGTTTCTGTATAATGTTTTGTTAAATAACTCAACAATAGAACTCATTGTAAGAAAGAGTGGTTTACTTTAATTTTCATTGAAGACTGTGACAAAACAACAAATAGCAATAGAAATGGACGGTATTATTAAGGAGGACCTGAGTATTAATAATAACACACTATTTATGTAGAGCGCTATTTCCATGCTATCCGATAGTACTTTACAATGACTGAGACAAACATAGAGTGCTTGAAAATCTCAACTGGCAGGAGGCAGACCAGTTGGTCATTTACACAGCACAGCCACTGAGTTGAACTAGGGGCGACCGAGAACAAAGCCAGTGAATGGCAGGGTGGAGGACTTGGACTCGGGACCACCAGATTACAAGTCCAACGCCCTTACCACTCGGTTACGCCAAGTAATGCAAGTGTATCTCATCGCCAGATTTTTTTGAGAATGACCTACTTGTGACCTCCCATGAAACAGCCTCGTGGAGTTAAGCACTTGCAGTTCCCTGCATGGAGACGAAAGGTTGTGTAAATAAGAGAATAAGAAAAAAATAACGGTTGAGATGAACAATTTAACAAGGATAGAAGTTTAGAACTGTAAAATAGTTTTAGAAAATCGAAGACTTCTGAGTCGAAATTCATTTTGGATATTGCGAGAAATCTTTATCAATATTTAACAGTTTTATTAGATTTGGGTAAAACACAAACAAATTTAAATCAAAATTTAAAAATTATACTTCTGCCTCCTCATCTATGACATCAAACCCTGTAGGTATCGTGTGCATTTTCATGTTATCATAATTATTTTCTTACGTAACTCTACGTAACCCAAGATCATCTCTACAATTATTTATGATTAGATTATTCCTACCTGTATCATGATTGAACGCAAAGTTGTGGCCCATTTCATGAGCAACGGTTACATAAGGACCAATGATACTGCTATAAGACCACTGCGAATAAAAAGAATATGATTCATGAGCTTTTTTTCTTCCCTGTGAGTCTTGGATGTTATTGCTCCTAAAATTCTGAGGCATATCTAACATCAATCATATGTCGACCTTTAAGTTCCAGGACGGGTAAGAAATCTTCCTATATTTGAGCATGCTGATAAAAAGCCAAAGCCCGCGCCACTTTAGGGAGTATTTCGATCGAGTGCCGTATATCCAAACACAGGTAGTTACAAAAGCTCATCAGAAAAGAAGGAAAAGATTACAGGAAACCAATGCGAGACCAAAGTCAAAACAAGCAATTTTTCGAAAGCGCGGGAAAACGTTGGCGATAAAATCCTGACTAGTATTTCTTTTGCCTCTGATTGGTTGAGATTGGTGAAAGTATTCTAAAGGATCTCAGGACATAATAAAGCAAAAACAGTGCAAGTCATATTTCTTCACATAACTTACGGCGTTGATAGAGTTTGAATTTCCGCCACACATCGCATTGACCCATGCTAGACCAACAATATGTTTGTCCCAACTCCTGTGACTGGAAAAAAAAAAACGAAGCGATATAAACCTGGAAAACTTATTTTCCTCGACGATTGAGGTATCAAAATTCACGAGACCAGCCAAAGACAAAAAACGAACTTTTGCTGTCTACTGTTTACCATTTCCGCGATAAATAGTCCTTGTTCAATACCCCTAGATGTTTTGCGCGTTGTTCGGAATTTTTCCTGAAGGGAAGTATAGTATATGCGTACTATTACATCGATCTCCGATAAGTGTCATAACAAATTAATGATCTACCACACAGCTGGCAAGACACGGAATTTTTCGGTCCTTTGAGCGACCAACCGAGATTAGATGATACAGGGTTACCTGAGAAGGATAACTTTTTTTTGCGGTTAAGGACACTATGTTCTAGATCATATGTTGTGACTCAAACTACCCCCATCGGTCTTTGAAGATTCAGAGGATTTTACCCTTTTGAAAAAGGTTTCTTCTCTAATCGAAAGAAATTTTTGATTTGGGAGGTATGAAAAAAATTTCGTAAGGATGAAAAAATTTTACCTCAGTAAAAGAGCGTTGTCATGAGGGAACCTTTTCACCAAATTTTTATTTCGATAGGCCCTGAAATTGTTTAATTCAGTCCCTGAATTTCGCCCACGCCCGAAAGGATCTCCGTTTGTCCAGATTTCCAAGTACTTCAGAACTATCCTGATATTAATTCGCTGATAGATCTTTACAAGAGACAAAAAAATCAAGATATTTCAAAGATAGTTAGTTGGGAAATGATTGATTAATTCTTTATTAACTGTTGATATGTTCAGCACCATTTGGGAAATCTAAGCAATAAGAAGAACAGCGTAATGAGTATGTACTTATCGACGGCAAAGTCAGATCAAGTTATTGTGAAAATTGCTCTTTCTCGGAAAAAAGCATCGATAATGTGAGGACAATATTAATTCGTTTTTAGTCATTTCTGGGGTTCAGGAGGCGCGCAAATCCCCCCCCCTCCCTTAGATGACTTGCGGCTTTCTAATATAACTTCATTGTTACACAAAATCTACCTCATTATTCAGCAGGTCATAAGCCTTCCATTTGTTGTTGGCGATAAAATTTTGTTTACGCAACCCGTCAGTTATGTGACTCGTTACTGATACACCCCGTTCTAAAAAAATCTTTGATCTGCCCCCACAAAGATAAAACGGATAGGAAAACTACCAGGAACTAAAATTTTTTTGGCATTTCTGGGATTGAGAGGGTTAATCTAATAAAAGAAAGTGTGAGTCTAGAGGAGGGCTTCAGGTTTGCTATTTTTTTCTAATAAAAGACAAAGAAAGAAATGATTTGCGAGAAGGAAAGCTAAAGTAAAACTGAAAGTAACTTACCGCATCAACAGCGTTTACTAATGTTATGACTCGATCTTTGATGACATTTTTATCCCTGTTATATTTCCGGTACTGTTGAAAGCAGATAAAATGATCATCATTGTGGGGATATTCAAGTTTTTAGGTCAATTATCAAAACATTTCTGAGTTCGCGAGCTCTAATAATCCTTAGGTGTTAAAAAAAACAAACAAAAAAACAAATAATGTCAACCCGGTTATTGGGAGATTTTTAGGTGCACCTGATATAATTTCCTCCTTTGCCTTATTCCCCAGATAAAGAAAAAGAAGAAAATAACGCGGAGAGAGACAAACCTAGTAGGATAGGCAGGGATAATGCGGTTGATCCAAGTTTTAATCTATGAATTAGTTCTCTAACAGATTAGACTGTAAGGAGTGGATGAGTATGTGAGTGAATGAACTTTGGCTCCATAACTAAATCTAGGTAAAAGTGAAGGTGAAACTGAGGGTAAAAGCTGAAGTTGTTTTGATAATCAGTCTAAGGAGCAAATAATTTATTTGTTGTAATAAACAGTACTTACTATTTCATTGTCAACACAAATGAAAATTTCGGTGTATCGCGTCTCATCAGTTGTCAGGTATTTCTTGTAGAAGTCATCAATATGACCCGATATGCTACGTCTCTTCTGGATCAAAACCAAAATAATCAAACACGGTTGTTTAGAGTAGTGATGAAAAATAGTGTTTTGTCTAAAAAGTAACCACCTACCCTAGCAACTGGTCCAGAAGTTTCGTTTAAGAAATGGGAGTCTGCTTGAATTTCGTCGTTTCCTGAAGAAAGAAAAATGGTGATTATCAAACATACCAACCGCTATAAACATGACACCACAAATAAATACAGTATCTGTGGGGAATTTTCTGAGGCGGTAAAGTCCTTAAAATAGCAAACGACAACAAATGAAACCTTTTTTAGATGCTTTGAAACAAAATAAAAAGGCGCACCGATTGAATGTTATGTTTTCGCAAAGTACTGCAAGCTTTGATTTACCACAATTATGGAAGATATCTTGGGACTCGTCTTCTTCGGCTTTACTGACTCTGTGAGTTCCATTTTCCTGGAATTTGATACAGTAACGATTTTAAAGAAAACGAAGGTAAAAAGGAAGCAAATTTTTAGCGACATGATTCATTTGACTAAAAACTTAACTTGCTACAGATATCTAGTGTGAAAAATAGCAATCAACATTGGCCAAAAACTATACAAACAAAGTCAATTTTTAAAATATTGTGTATAGTAAAATAAAGGGATGAAAATTATTTTACAGTTCAACCAAATTCTATTGATGTTAAGATTTGTATTTCAGTTAAACTTGCCTCATGTCCAGTCTCAGGTATAATGTAAAACGTTTCATTACCATCATCTATTAAGCCTCTAAAAAAAACAACATTGATATTTCCCATTTCCATATCAAGAAATTTTCAATTGACACGGAAGCAATTCCTGCACTTTAATGGGTTTCCCCTTCTACGATGTGCGATTGGACAAGAAAACCAGCATTAAATAACCAATCAACCAATCAAATGGAGAAGCCGAATAGATCGTAAGTTTTTCACTCACGTTTCCCCGCGCCTCAAACAATTCACTTATTTCTAGTTTGCGTTCTCGTTGGCTTACTGGGATGTTGACCTTTGTTAGCTTTTTTAACTTGGTTTTGAAACACGCGACTGAAAAGCTCCCTAGTGTATGCAATAGCAACAGATATAACATAACGTTGTCAAGCCCTTGCTTCCACCCTCTCATGCTGCATGCAGTAAAGGGAACAAATCAAGATAACAAGTCATGCAAATTCTACACGCTTCTTATAAAGTATAAACCCAATGTAAGTATCCTGTTTGCTTTTATGAGCTTTTTGTGCACACATTTGTAAAATGTACATAGTATCGAATTTATCTAGTGAAGATGTCATGTTTGAAATGCATTATACAGTCATACCACAGCAATAAAACCTTACCTCAACCCCGAACAGGTATTCAGGACAACGCGAGAATCATTCAGGCCTCGTATGGTACCTTGATAGTGACAATGATCGTAATTACCCTGAGAGGGAAGTACATACAATGAACATAATGTTAGATGGCCCTGGCTCCTCTCCCACCCCACCCCCTTATCTTTTAAAGTTTCCAGAAATTCGTATCTCCTCAAGCATGGTAATATCTTTTATATAAAACTAAATACTCACCTTTAAATTGACGGATCACTATTATAAGTTTAACACATTTGCAAATGTGGATAGAGTTCGATGTTATCGATATTTAAGCAACTGTTAGAGAGAGAGATTGCATTCGCATTTATCTATAAATTGCTGTTAGCCACCTTAAATTAGAGCTATGGTAAAAATCGATATTTTCAGATGTTCAACCAGCAAAGATGACATAGATGCAGAACCAATTACTTGGTGTCATTATGAGAAAATTATTTTGTTTTTAAATTTGCAGAAAAAGCTTTCGTCCATAAAAAGCCTCTGACAGGATTCGCATATGGAAACCAAACGTTTACGACTGCATGATCAACCTTGTGTTTTCCTAATATGTTCTATAACTTATATCTACCTCTTGTATGACCTCTGATCCATCATTTTCGAACGTGCGAACAGCGAATGATGAAGGAATCAACTCTCTAAAGGAGAAGCAAAATAACGTGATATATTGACATATTGATATGCATGACTCATATCCACACATAAGAACATAATGGGACAGTTAGTGAATGAAAAGAGAAAACAAAGAAATAAATAGATATAATATAATGTAAAATGATAAAATAAGCGAGCCAAACAACGACATAAGGAATGAAGTGAAGGACAAAAGAAATAATAACTAGCGAACAAATACATGAATAAACAAGTAAATTTCAACGATCTTGTAACCATAGGTCTTGTTGGTAGCATGAAAATAGTATAACAAAATCAATTACTTTTCGTCTCCCTCTCACTAATTTATTTCAAGAGTCTGATTCAGTAAAAAGAAATGTTTGCCAACAAACATACTTGTTTCGTTTAACATCTAGGGTCCAGTCCTTGTCAAAAGCAGTCAATCGATAAGAGGCATCATCCACGTGACCTCCCTAGCACAACGTGATACAAAATAATTATTCATCAAAATGTCTCTATAAAGATCACTTGTCCAATGTTATTGTTATGTTAATACGAAAAGTTGTTTGTTAAAATAGTGCGCTGAATGGATCACTTGGATCACAGTTAAAAGTGCATCCAGTGCACGAGTAAAGAACCAAAAAAATAACGTGAAATTGAACGAAAACAACCTTTTCCGAAGTTGAGAGGTCTTGTTTCTCTCGTCTACCGTCTACACGTTCAGGGCGGGTGAGTTGATGGTTAATATCCTGTGCCCCACCTGAAAATGAGAGCAATATCGGTTACGAGCTGAGATTTAAAAATATTTAAAGGCCGAAAGAACATTCAAATATTACATTTATATCTTCAAAATACTGTAAATAGAGCGCATTTCGATCGAATGTCGTAAAACCAAACTCAAGAAGTTGTAGCGACGAATCACAAGAGAGAAAATTACCTCAGGGGGTCAAGTGAGAACTCAGAGTGAAGATATGCAAACTGACTGAAGCAGGAAAACGAGAGTGACCAACTGGCGACTGCTTTAAATATGAAATAAATCTTGATACATCACACAGCAAAAGAAGCAAAACCAATGTCATCCAGAATTACTTTAAACTTGCTCTAAACTGTGGAAAGAAGCCTACCTTCTTGGATCGAGGTGGCGTTATGCAATAACAGCAACAACGCCCAAGCGATCAGTGATCTAGCCACTGTCTGTTTAACCATACTTTCCCCTCGTCTTTCTATGGAAAAATTTGGCAGAATTTTTTTAAAAAGAGAGATTGTCCAGAGTGTATATTGGATGCCTAACACTAGCGCACTACTTTGAAACCGAATGAGGAAAACTTCAAACAGGTTGCATAACAAGAGGAATGACGACAGTCAAAGATAAACTTCTTACGTACCTCTTTCACGGCGGCGAAAATCTCAAAAAACGAAGGAAAATCGTAGCTCACTCCACAGTGGGTTTTTTCTTCAGCTTTTATTTCCCTTTTGATAAAAAGAAAACCTACATAAGTCATTTAAACACCCAAGATTAACAAACAGATGGTGTTACAATACCTGAGTAAAACTTAATACGTGTCATTCATGGGGATGTTCAGGTTTTTCCTCCAATTCCAAAATTCACTTCCTCTCCTGGAGGTTCAGCTCACCCAAACTAAACTAGTACTAACCTTTAAGGCTGAAGTTTAGGAGAGAGAAATGAAAAAACGTATCGCATAAGTCGTGCAGTATGTACGTACCTTGAAATTCCCTTGATCCGACGATCAAACTAAAGCTGTGAACCTTTCGAGATCAGCGCAAGGGAGAAGTGAGCTTCACCAATAAACCTACGCCCAGAAAACCCCTTTTCTGATCACGTGACTAAGTGGGCTGCTTAGACTTCTTACAGTCCGAGTGACGCATTCCACGGCCTAGCGAGGGGTCAAATTAATATATTCAATCAGCTGTCTGTGGAACTTGAAAAATCAGTATCACGATATTTTGTAGTAGATCACGTAGAAAGGATTGTTTATACCATTAAAAGAGATGGGTTAGTTTATCAATGTTTACTAACAGCGTCTAACTGCCATAACCAGAAACATTTAAGTTCTCAAGTTATGGTAATCCTATTGTTCCGATTCATAACAAAAGTATTGTGTGATCGTCAATTGAATTAATTTGTGTTTAGATCAACAGACCGATTTGAATGATTAATGAAGGTGCTTCTGCCTTAAAAACGAAAAAATGGACAGTAAAAACCGAACCTTATTCCATAATATAGGCATATGTGGAGGATTTTCAGCAATGAGCCGTTTTAAACGCGTTAAAACTGCTCACTCTTGTCATTGTTTTGGTTTAGAAAAACTGGTAATTACAAACTGATTTGACACGGTCTAAGTACTTTTCTTGTCAACAATGCTATTCTAGAAGCAATCTTTTTAACTCACCGACTCCCACACAAATGCGGTTGTTACAAACTTAGAACTGGAACAACGTCATTTTAAACTACATTCCTTTCATACTTGGACCAAAATAGATCAGTCTGATATCCAATGGATTTTTTGTGATTTGAATAGGGATAAAGGAACAAATAACACAAGAACGTTGTTCTACCATCTGTGATTTAAAATTCGGTGGAGCATTTATCGAGCAACGCTGAAAAAGGCCTATTTCTGTCATTCCTTGGGTTTTAAATCATTAATCTTGAGTGTAGGTAAGAAAGAAGTTTAAAAATTTCGAAAGTATAGATGAACGGATGTGATACGGTTGGTAGAGTGTGTTTATTAAAACTGACACCCCCGGTCTCCTTTGGCAGGAGGAGGGTATTCTCGAAGCCTTTCTTTTTGACTCCCACTCATCCATATGTCGCATCAAACATACAGAAATGTACGTCATTTTGGACTGAACTACTTCTATTTTCGATAACCGCAAAAAGAGATCAATTGGGATGACAAATAGAATTATTTTGAACTCAATGCGGGGAAAGAACGAACAAAAAGTCCAATTAAATTAGAACATAGAATCAATTCGTGTTTTACGCGCACTTACGTGGATGACGTTACACTCTCATCCGTTGACGTATGAGTTAAGAAACGGTTTGTGTAAGAAAAAGGTTGTTTAGCTCACTTCGAGTTAGTTGAAACTTATACAACGCACGAGAAGAATGATATAAGAGGCATCAAAGTTCTTTCTGTGGCTCAAGTAAGAAGCGAACTCGCGCTGCACGAAGGCAAATGTCAACTTCTTACGCGTGGTCTTCGCTCGCGTGTTCGTGCAAGCTCCTAAGGATAATGGTTTCATCAGAAAAGAGAAAGCTGCACTCGATTTTCAAAACTCTGGAGAAGGAATTCGCAACTACGCAAAATTCGTCAAATGTCTCGACAATCTAAGGAAGAAAAAGTGGACTTTCAGGTTTTCAGGGGGAAACAACTAACTCCTATTGCAGTTACGAGCAAATGCGTCATCGATTGAACGCGCTTGTAAAAATGGTCTATTGGGAACCTTATGTAAGTCGCACATTTTTTTGCTCGTATGAATTGCTTTAGTACTTGAATTTCTGAAAATTGTTCCACTTTCTATGGTATTATCCGTGTGTTGATTGACATTTACTATGGAAAAATTTATCTTTTACGCTGCGGCACGAAGATATCTTCGCCCGCGAGAAAAGTCGAATCCTTGAACAAAACGAGTCTCTTTCAGCTTAAGTTGAAGCCCTTAACTTTGTTAAATTTAGGCAAGAATAAAATTGAAACACGAAGCTAAACAAAGCCCTAATAAATATTTTTACAAACTTAACGGGACAGCTTTCGTGATTTGCTTGCCATTAATTACTGCTACTCCAAACGTTCTCTCCAGGAAAAATGTACCCTGAAAGCTGATTTTATTCAATATAAGCTGACTAAAACACTTTTAGCTGTTTTAAGGGGAATACTGTCTCCCTACAGATCAGTACGGTAATTTTCGATTCACTTTAAAAGAAAATGTTTTTGGAAATAATATTCGGTCTATAAAATGATATTGCTCAGGGCTGAAATCGGATCTAAATTTTGAGATAAAGGTGGAATGATGATTCGCTCTCATCGGAAACACATAATATATATTTCATAACTACTTGCATTTCCACATTAGATTTCTGCAGACGATATGCAGCTGACTCATATCCTGTTATCCTAAGGTTCCAAGACAAAAGCCACAACTGTTAGAATCATACAGTTTTAAAGGTTTACAGGCTAAATTAACAGATACACTTTGTCACAGGTCTAAACTCGAAAACACGTATTCAGGTTCGAGATGAAAAAACTCTTTGAGATATCCCGTGTCTCAACTATAGGTGAGGGGTTTGTGGAGGGGGAGGATGTAGGGGTGAAGTGAAGGGTTTGTGGAGGGGCGGACAGGGGTAAAGAGTCCCCCACCTTCCGAAATCAGCTCTCCCACTCCCCGCACCGGTGACTTCCGTATCCGGCCTTCACTGCCCATGACTACAAAGGAATTTTCCTCCTTCCATTGATCCCTTTTCTCCACAATCCTTCCCCACTTCCCGCTCTCTCCCGTCTCCTTTTTCCGTGGGTAAACAACCGTATACCACCTTCCTTGAAGGATAGATTAAAACGGCAAAAAAGTTTCCTTGGACTTGTGCTGGTCAAGTGATCAGCAGAAAAAAAGAAAAAAAGGAAAAGATGAGGTTCACATTTCAATTTCTCTTCCAAAATATTATGAGCACCTTATGCATGACACTGGTTTTGTAGCTTACGCTTCCCTGGCCCGCTTCGCTTTAAAGTACCTCAAACTACCTTTTCGACCTATGGCTCCCTAAAAATTGGAATGATACAAAGTCCTGGAATTTTAAACTCATTTGGAAGAAATACTCCTCAATCCAAATCTCACTAGTGTGAATTTATTGCCTTAAGCCACTCACTGAATGCGAAAATGGTGAGGCTAAGTCCGGGAGGGACAAAGCACGTAAAAAATTGCGAAAATGTGAAGCTCAAATATTGTCCATGCACATCTGTTAAAAATATTGCTTTAAGGCTTTTGCTAGAGGAGCCCTCAAAAGGATACCAATTTGGGATACAAATCTAAGAAGTCTCAAGAGTCAACGGAATTCCCCCCTAAAACTGATGCCATTGTTTTATTATCAATCACGCGCGGATAATTCAAGGAATGGACAATGTCCAGCGTGTGTCCATCCAATTCGGGATAGCTAATCAGAGCGCGTGTTAGAATGTAACTGTGTTAAAATAGTCACAGTTCGGGAAATAAAAACCGAAGCTTCTTCCCTAAAGGATTTCTTCTTGGGAGAAGAAAGAACGATGGAAATCGGGCTATGGTAAAGTAAAAAAAGTCCGTGAAACGTGGTCTTGTATCTTTTTAGCTTGTTCATTTTCATTACGTTCACTTCAAGAGGTGGTAAAGGAAAAGAGACCATATCGCTGATGATTGGAATAATTTATATAGAAGCCTCATCATCACCTATCGTTTTCTTGGCAAATACACTTTAAAAATTACTGCCTTGTAGTTCTGGCCTTGCTGCATATTACGAGGGTGTACTTGACTGGGTAAAAGAAAAAATTATATTTTCTCTCTTTATTGTATCAGTCCGTAAGAGTGACGCACCACAGCTCAAGTGCAAGCGGTATTTCTTGGAAACGTGCGATTCGATGTAGAATTTGATTACTGTGTTTGGCTTTATGAGCAAGGACAATGGATATTCGATCGTCTGGCACTCTGTCGGTTACTTTGTCATTCTTAAATATCCACCTACATTCTGGATCCTTTCTTCCGAAAACTTTACACATATTAAAATGTTCAGTGTATGAATTCTTTAGGCGAACGACATATTATCGACTGCTTCTGCAGTTTTGCTAAAGAAAGCTTTCTAAAGTATCGAAAGTTTCCTTGCAAATGAAATATCGGTTTCCGAGAATTAAAAACACAAGCGCACAGGAAGTGATCAAATTCGGATACGTTGACCCTCGAAATTGAGATCAATGTTACATTTCAAGAGCATACGTTAGAGAACTACCCTAAAACGGTTGACCACTATGATGCAATACGGTGCAGCAACACTCGGATATTCTGAACATTCATCAAAATCCTGACAATTTTTGTGAGGATTGCTTCATGATGTTCGACATTTGCCCAATGTTAGTTGAAAAGATTTCAGACAATGCATCTGAAGGGCTATCGATACTTCTTAGAGATGTGCATTTTAAGGAAGAATTTGATCACCGACAATTTTTGGCACTCGGTTTGAGC